GGCTGTTACAAATGGTATCAAAGTCAGACACTAGGCAATGTGCCAACAAAGGGGGTAGACACGAAGCAGTGTGCCAGCAAAGACGCTGGGCCCTGAAGGGGGTGGATTGAGGGGGTCCCACATCAATTGGAGAACCCGAAGGAGGGTGAATTGTGAGATCCCACATCGGTTGAGGAGAAGAACGAAGCATTTTTTATAAGGGTGTGGAACCTCTCACTAGCATACGTGTTATAAAAACCTACAAAGAAAGCTTGAAAGGGAAAGCCCGAAGAGGACAATATCTGCTAGCGGTGGGCTTAGGCTGTTACATCTACCGTCTTTCACCATTTCCAATGCAAAAGAGAGATAGGGAGAGAGTTGTAGAAGGTACTTACACTGCCAGCAAGAGCATAGGCAACCACAAGAGGAGGAGAAGCAAGGTAGTTGGCCCTCGTTAACGGGTGCACACGACCCTCGAAATTTCTATTTCCCGACAGTACGGCTGCAGCAACTACATCTGGACATTCAAATATCATCAACAAAGTGGTTAGTATAATACCCGAAAACAGTACCCGCAATCCACCTACTGCAAACGGTTACCATTTTCGGTTATCGCCGAAGCAACGGATTCATCAATATCTCCTGAATTTCCAATACATGTGGTACATCCATACCCAACTATATTGAATCCTAGCTGATTAAGATACTTTTGCAAGCCACTGCAGATGAAAAAGTGTAGTCACATACGGTATACGAGTAATCTCTCTCTCGAAGAAAGTAAATATAATACCTCTGTGCCAAATATTTGGTCACGACCCCCGAGCCGGGAGCAAGACTAGTTTTAATCCAGGGCTTAACCTGATAACGGAAGTCGAAATGAAACGAGTTACTATGAGTTTAACATTGAGAGAAAGGAATCATATTAATAGTGGGAGAAAACAAAAATCTAACCTCTAGCCCAAGCTCACAAGCTTTCTTAGCCACCAATGCAGCTCCAAGCATAACACTTGGGTTCGAGGTATTCGTGCAGCTGGTGATAGCTGCAATTACGACATCCCCGTGCCGAAGCTGGGCTGGGGATCCATGAAAACTGAACTCTGCAACCTTGGCTTGAGCTTCTTTTGGTATGGCAAACCCCTAAATCATCATTTATTAGTATAAAAAGATTGGAGTAAACCTCTCCCTAACAGACGTGTTTTAAAACCGTGAGACTCACAACGATACGTAATGGGCCAAAACAGACAATATCAAGAACCAACGACGCCGAGGTAAACATCCTTCACCTTGAATCCAACTCTATTGTCGAGGCATGCGTGCCAATCTGCTTTCATTTCTTTTAAGGGAACTCGATCGTGCGGTCTGCAAAATCAAGAGGAAGAATATACGTTTAAATAATGCTAGATTAATATTCTCATTCATACACAAGTAGTTCTAGTATAACTTAAACTACCTTTTTGGACCTGATATGCACGGTTCAACGTCCGAAAGGTTCAGTTCGATATGAGAGGAGTACACTCGTTCAACTTGAGGCTACGTTAAGTAAAATCTAACTCAGACATGAAATGGTTCTAATATCGAGCGATTTAGTGCTCGTAAGGTGCGCGAATGACAAAGAAGTAAAGGAGGATATTTCATATTCACCTCGCTGTAGTCCACGAACATCTTGTTAGCTCGCAGATACGATTCTATCATAGAAATCTAAAAGATAATTCCCAAGTTAACACAATGAACAAAAGCAAACATGAAGAACGTCAGTACGAGCGTTTACTGACCGTTTCATCTTTTCTTCCGGTCAGTTTTAGATACTGCAAGGTGACATGGTCCACAGGAAAGAACCCCATTGTTGCACCGTACTCGGGAGACATGTTGGCAATTGTGGCACGGTCGGCCAAAGATAGTTCACTCATACCTTCCCCTGCAAGGACCTCCCATTAATCTCTTATAATAACTATTTTCAGGCACGTTCGTTACACGTTTTCATTTCTCGTATCGTTATATGCTTCAGAAGTTCGATTCGGCTTACCATAAAACTCCACAAACTTGCCAACAACACCATGGTTCCTGAGCATTTGAGTTACAGTCAAAACCAAGTCCGTAGCTGTTACACCATTTCTCAGCTTTCCAACTAATTTAAAACCAACGACGCCGGGCAAGACCATGCTCATGGGCTAAAATCGAGGAGAAAAACGAAAGACGAACGACGTCAAACGCTTTCCAGCAAGATAACAAAAATATAAGAACAGGTACAATTTCTCTACCTGTCCAAGCATTGCAGCTTCTGCTTCTATCCCACCGACACCCCAACCAGCAACACCCAATCCATCGATCATCGTCGTGTGTGAATCAGTTCCCACGACACTATCAGGATAAAGAACGCCATTTGTGTTGAACACTACTCGGCCAAGGTACTCCAGATTAACCTGAAACATGATAACATTATTTCATCATCGCTATCGACAATCCTGCATGCTAAAGCCTTATAAGACGTGTATACGTTTACCTGGTGAACTATACCAGATCCTGGTGGTACGACAAGCATGTTATGGAACGCACTCGATCCCCATTTCAGAAAACCGAACCTTTCTCTGTTTCGTTGAAACTCGAGTTCCATGTTTGCTTTTACTGCATTTTCTGTTTTCGCTACGTCAACCTGAACCGAGTGGTCAATGACAAGATCTACTGGAACCTGCACTCATCGTATTCATATGCCATAACTCAATGTTCAACCGTTCGATTATCAGCTAGAATCAAGTACGATTGACAAATGTACAGAACAAGAATTTAAGTTGTTAACAGCTCACCAATGGATTAATCTTGTTCGAATCACCACCGAGCCTGTTCATCGCATCTCGCATGCAAGCAAGATCAACAACAGCAGGCACACCAGTAAAATCCTAAATGAACACAATTTTCACACATCAAAATCAGAACACAAATCCATGACAAACTTTCAGAAACAAAATGCTGACCTGAAGCAACACTCTAGCAGGTTTGAATGGAATTTCAACCAGTTTGGGAGCGGTGTTCTCCCAGTCAATAATCTTCTCGACATCGTTCGCCTTAACGGCAAACTCATCGCAGTTTCGAATGGCCGATTCGAGAAGTATCCGAATCGAATATGGAAGCCTCTCTGCCAAAGAAACATTCACTCAACAATCAAAATTTCAACCTATTATACTCCAAGCATAGAGAATCAAGTAAAGGTTTCAACGAATCCCAGAAAAGTTGTGGAAAGAAAAGCTCCGGTTCAATGATTCGAAAGGGAAAAGTCACAAGAAAGACAATCAAAGTTCATATGAATCAAACAAACAGTACAAAAAAAGCAAGAACACTCACCGATTCTAGGATCGTTCAGAGCAGGCAAGCTATAGTACTTCCCAAACACACCCCCTTCAGGATTCTCAAGAGTCTTCAAAATGCTACTGAAAGGGTTTTGAATCGCTGTAAAAAAACCCAACAAATCCAAAATCAGAGATCAAAAATAAAGGAGGCCCCAAATGAAACCGAAAGCAAGCCACAAAAAAGAAAGATCGATTTGAATCGAATAGCAAGTACCCATTGATGCGATGGATGAGAAGCTCCACAAGCAAAGAGAGTTGAATCAACTAAGAAACCAAGACAGGGAGGGAGGGAGAGCGAGAGAGAGACGAAGGCGGCGCAAGAAATGGTGGAATATTATACGTAGCGGTTAGCCATTTTATATGTCTCTGTGGGCCTCCGGGTATCGCTGAGGCGCAAAAATCAGTCACAAGTGAGCAGTCGACGCCTCTCTCAAATCTCAACTACCCAATTCGTGCACTTTATTAGTTTCTTGCTAATTTCATTGATCTCGAAGCATTTTCTGGGATTAATTGATCGGGATTTGTGTTCTTCCTACAGTTTTATCCAGATTTTAACATGGGTTTGCGTTTGATTTACTTTTCACCAACATCATTATGCATTTTGAAGCCAATTTTTCGTCATTGTTCTTGATGGGAAACTGGGATTTCTAGATATAAAGCGTTGATTTCTGAATCGATGAATGGATGAGGATAAGATTATGAGTAATTGATAAGAAATGGAGTGAAATAGAGAATTAACATATTTGTTAAAGGAATGTTGAGGAAATTGAAAGATCCATGAAGAACCCAAGAGCCGTCATTTTCTATACCAGCAATGAACAAAGGCGACCGCTTTCAAATTCAGATCGAGGAATCTGACAGCGAGTGCTGCTGTTGGTACGAAATTTAGTTTTAATATTCTTAGATTGGCGGCTTTTGGCCAAACCTAGATTTGATATCCTCTTTGTGTCTTTTGTGCCTTCTACTTCCACGTGGTTTGGGCCGTGTGGCCGATCATTCTCTCGGACCAATTATTGATCATCACGGTAAGCTATTACCTCACCTCCTAGCTAATCAGATGTGAGCCCTCCATTAGGCGGATTTCTCTTTTTGCTCCTCTGCGTACGGTGTATTAGCAGCTGTTTCTTGTTGTTCTTTCCCTCCCAAAGGTTGGTTTTTACATGTTACTTATTTGTCCGCCACTAGAAATACCATTTTCCGCCCGACAATTTTTTCAACTGGGCAACTCTTATTAAATAAAGAACTCAACCATAAATATTGAATTTAGTTGATTCGAGTTGTTGATTCAAATTTTTGTGTTTAATAAAAATAAAATATTAATAAGTAAGCATAAAAAATTTACATTTCAATTATAAAATTTTATTATTAAGAGGACGATGGTGTTCGAAATTTGTTGGGTCTCGTCGAACCATTTGCCTAGCTAGAGAGCTAGTGGAAGCTCACTTCAACAAGAGGAAACATCTTAGCCAGAAATCGACATATCTCCGACCCGAGGAGGTCGATGGGGTTTGAATTTTCTGAAAGCCTAATGAGCATTGAAGGTATCGGATTTGGTAAGCTTCGAATCGGGATGGATAGTTTTGCGTTCGAGAGAGCAAGCTTAAATAGTCGGAGAATAATGATATTTCTATCGACATCGATCAAACGAGTACCGAACAGCATCTGTCCGAGACTGAACGATGAACAAAATAGAGTACTTCTGCTTGGATTAAGCTCTATTTTCCTGGTTCTTTCATTTACTTCTGCTCAAACTGTTGGAAACTACATAGAGCACTTGCCGTGTTAAATGTTAAACTATGCATTAAAAAACTAGGTACTACAAGAAGAGTCTATCAGCTTCATCAGATTGTGTTAAGTTATGCAGGTGGAGCACAAAGAGCTAGAGACTTTTTTGGTAAGATAACGCCCCTCCCTCTTAAAGAGGTAGTCGGGCCTCGGACCGAGCTTGCTCTGCTCACAAGATTCGAGTCGAGAAATACAACTATGACTGTGATGTCATCGTGAAAATGACGGCGGATACCTCGGTCGATGTCCTTCAAATCTGAATATCGCATTTCTCGCTTCTTAGCTGCATCCTGCATAGCAGCTTTTACCAATCTCTTAGCACTTCCCTGCATGAACAAAAGCAGTCATTTCAAATTTGGCGTTTTCGTTCATCTTTAGTTTTTCATCACCTCCTTGTATGAGCAAACAATCGAAGGAGCACGCACGTCCCTCGTGAACCGATAATACTTACATGATGTGGGTGAGTTCGAATAATATCCACAGCCTGCTGATTGCTAAGGTGCTCCCACAGACCATCAGAGGCAAATATGATGAATTGATCTTGTGGTCGAAGTTCATGCATTGATATTGATGGTTCACAGCTCAATATTGGCCGATTGAACGGTTCGCGAAGCCTAAACTTCGCATACAAGGGCTCCCTGTTGAATTCAGCCTTCTTTAGATACGCGTCGCCTATAGATCTGGAAACCTGCAACGAATCCGAAATGCGAACAACAAAATGCTCAAAACGCCTCATTCCATAATGTCAGGCAAACTCGACATCTATAGCTCAGTATCCTACAAGTCGTACCTGCATTAAGCCTTTTACTCGCCATACATTATGCTTCAAAACTACTATATGCGAGTCATCTGGGTGCAAAGACTGCATCTCCCTTCTGACAGCTTCTATGCTCACATTATGCTCGGCTGATAGCTGAACAGCAACGACCTCCTCGGTCGCCTGAACGAGCCTTCCCAGCACAGCACGGGAATCGCCAAGATTGGCTGTGTAAAGGGTGCCACCACAGATCACACCAACCAAACAGCATGAACCAACAGCTGCAATTTGGGGATTCATCTGCCATTGTTTAGCCACTAACGAAATAAACCCTTCCTCTGTAGCTTGAAATGCTTTCTTTATCACATCAGATGACATCGATTGTTGTTCTGTGGTGAACCCTGCATTTTGAAATGAAACGTTCAGCTGATACTCAAAAACATAATTACAAAGAGTTCTTCATCTGGTTTAGAGTTCTTACTTTTCAAATGCTGGAAAAGATTGTCATATATGTAATTTGATGCTTCAGGTCCACCATGACCATCATAGACACCAATAAATGTTCCAAACGGCCCGGATTCGAGCAAGCTCAATGGACCCGATTCAATCTGGCTCTGATCCTCAAGCAAGTTATTAGCCTGGACAACAGCCATTGAAAATTCACCATTCATGTGATGTCCAAGATCTTTGTACCATAGTAGGCCTTCACGACGGCCTGCCGAATCCGAATTGCTGTGTACGATATTGTCCGAGGATGGCAACCAGCAAGCCCTCAGAAGGTTCATCAAGCTGGATAACATCCCTCATTTCATCAGCTCCACCCTCTTAACTCCACATTCAGAAAAGATCACAACACCCTTCTATCTAAAAGCTCCCACCAGCCGTCTTTCCCAGCAAACTAAACAAAACAAAAAGAAGAACAGAAATCACTCACAATTCGAAGCAGCAAAACCCCTAAATCTGATGAATGGCTCCTATAATTTCATATATTTCAGTCAACTAACTCGATGAACTACAATAAATCCACAACAGAACAGAAACCTGGCATCTCTAATGCCTCAAATTCAAATTCAAAACAGAGAAAGAAACAAAAAACTCGCATAATCCGTTGACTTCATATCGAAATTAACAAAAGGGCTACAGCAATACACAATCAAATACTCAAATCTACCCTCACGCTTAAATTCATTAAAACAAAATGACAAAGATGATTGAAAAGAGTAACACGAACTCACTCAGAAACTACGCTATTCGATCAGGTCGGTCAGCTACTGAATGATACCAAATGAAAACGATAATCCAAAAGGGACAGAGCAATACCCGTGGGTTCGAAAAGCGATAGAACCACGGATCGATCAAACAAGAACAGTACGCAAAAGCGGTTTCAAATTTATCTTCTGCTCCCTTTCTAGGGCACAACGAAAATTGAAGAAGAAGAAGAAGAAAACCCCGTCAATCCGTGAGATGAAATGAAAGGGGAATTGAAATAGTTTGGTGGTTGGTTCTACCTGGCGTGGCACCAAGAACACGTCTAAGAGAAAACCAACAGCGATGGCGGAAAGGCATCAATACACAAGGGATTTCAATGGGCTCCATAAATATAAACCAGAGACACAGAAAGTGGATGCAAACGAGAGGCACAGAATAGAATAGAACCATATCATTGATCGTCGCCCATTATATTATTATTTTGCTTCAAAATTTTGTTCCTTGCCTCTGTGTCCATTTTAGCTTTTTATTTTATTTTTGGAAAATAAAAAATGAAATTATTAATTAATTTATTCCATATAAATTGAAATTTATGTGGAGTAAATCAATTTTAATTGAAAAGGAGAAGATATTATTGAAAGGAAGTGAGAAAGGGAGAGGTAATGAATACGTGGCAATCTTGGTTGAGTCATTGATAAAGAGCTCCCTCCCCTCGTGCTTGTTTATCCTCTTATGACTTTTTTCTCTACACACGTGTCAACTCATTTAAGAGTCAACCTTGCCACGTGTTCCCTCTTTTTGTATCTCTAACTGCCTCTCCTTCTTGATTGAAATCATCACTATATATCCACGTACTCAATTTAAAATTTAAATCTTAGAAATGACGTCACCTTTAAATTCAAATATATTTTTTAAAAAATTAATACAAACACAACGGCAAATTTGAGTATTTTGAGTAAACTCTTTATAAAATTATTCATTTTATTTAAAAACACACAGCTTTTGCAACAAAAATTTATTATTTAAATTTCTACTCACTCTTAGGTAAATAAAATTATTGACCTATGCTCTTACTTACTCTTTGTTCCAATGAATAGTAAATAAAATTGATTATTTGAGTCTTGTTTGTTTGGGTCGGTTGAAGGGGACGTCAACCAATTGAGTGGAGGAGGATGTCACGGTCATGCATATCCAAGGCGTGTTGTCAAACGGCCGCATGATAGATGTCCCAGTCTTGCTTTGTCTAGGACGTGTTGTCCATGGTTGCATGTCTGTTCCAAACCACCCCTTCTACATCCTAGATAGGTCTTTACCATTTCATATTGGGTGAGTATGAGGGTGTATGACTGTTCACCAAAATCATTTCTACACCTGCAAGGGCTAAAATGCCTCCCAAATGTACTAGATTAGCTCTCAACTTCTCCCTACCTGTTATATGCACTAAGCATAACAGTTGTTGTTGCATTTTACTTACAATTCTCATATAACACCAATTTCAATTTCTCAAATCTTGCTTTCAAAACTCTCCTTCTAAATCTGTGTAAAGGGAGTATTGGAATATATTTTAGATAGAACCAGTTAGATTTTTGTCATAGGTTTAAGAATTGGTTAATAGTATATTTGATATATAATTTTAGATCCGACTTTAGATCTCACTGGTCCCCCTTATGTTTATACACTCTCAATCTCACCTCTATTTCTTATTCTTAACTTATATCAGAGCATCATTGTTAACGATTTGAAAAGACCATATTTTTTAAACAGAAGTAATCCAAACAACTATAATCATAATAAAATTTATTATTTAAATTCCCAAAGACGTAAAAGACATAGAATCAAGGTGTCATTGTTTTTTCGTCGTTTCTTGGTATGGTCGTGCTTGTTTTCAATTGATTTCTTCATGTTTCTATGCTCTTTTCGACATTAGTGTATTAAGTTCCGTGTTTTTTTTCTCGAATAAATTATTTTAAAGTAAAAAAACAAAAATAGTATTTTAAAATAAGTGAGTGAGATGTTGACTTTAAATATAGGAAGATCCAAAGAGTTTATGTTGTATATGGGGAGAAAATGTGGGTTGACCAAATAATTGTAGGGAGAGGAGAAGAAGTAGGAGGAAATCAAATAAACTCAGGTTTGTAATCACTGTGTTGCCCAAGTAGGACCAAATCACAAAGAGAGAAAGACTACAACCGCTCTTGGCCAAGTGATCACTGTCTCCTTGTATCTCTCCAACATGTGGCTTATCAATTTCTTTAACCTATCATAAATCAATAGCTACCTATGTTCGTTCATCGCACTCAAGTTGCTATCGTTCTCTTTTCACTTGCGATACTCGTACAACAAGAACAAGATGAAGAATATGCATCACATAGCAGCTAAAAGCAATCTCGTTGATTCAAGTCCTGAAACCGATCATAATGCCCCCCCTCTTTGCCCTAAGCCCCGCCGCCTCCATCCCGCCATCCCTAGTTTCCTCGCCCCGTTTCGATGCGCCCATCGTATTCATAGGTCATTCTTGATAAAATTTTATGTTTTAACTTTATATGTTGATATTCTTCCAGCGTATGTATGGCTTAATTTGCTCTTGTATTTAACCAGCCAATCTAGTAGTGATCCGAGAAGTGCAATCCTCAATATCATTGCGGGAAAGGTAAGGAAGTCGATTTCTCGATTCCCTGATTCCCCCGATTCCCTAATTTGTGAATGAGTTATGAAAAGACTACGAATGTTTGTGTTGGTAGGGTGTTGAAGGGAGAGATTGTTTGTGCTTGAATTGCTACCCATCGTGTTATTCGGGATCTCCACCGGGAAGAACAGGGAATCCGCTGGTTCAAGACGTGTATTTTCTTCATCAAGTGGAGATTCAATCGCCATTTTCGAGAACCTAAGCTCTCTTAGAAGTTCAGTTTGACCTTTATTTCCCCACATAAACGAAAGAACAGAGAAGCCACTAAAGGAGTGGACAGAGATATACTCGTTGTTGTTTTATGTAGCTTTGTTAGTGAGTTTACTTACTTGTACAATCTCGATTTTCTTCAATTGTGCATCTTCATAATTGTAAATACAAACGCGATACTTTTTGTTTCAAGATTTAAATTTCTTTTTATTTTATTTAAACGGCACAAATTTCTTGCTTCCAAATTTCAAATTCAAATTAATAATGTTAAAATTGACCGATTCAATTCTTTGATAATAGATTTCATGCTTTTAATTTGATGGGACATGTAACCGCCTATACATCCAGCACCAGATGGTCCCGACATTTTCCTACATCCCCTATGACATGGTCACCTTACTTACTCTTCACTTCTAGAAGTGAACACTGTCCCCACAAACCACACATAGAGTTCTTCCAACATGTTTTGTCTTAGTTCATGTAACTGAGCTAAAAAAAAAAAAGTGCACCTTGTTGGTATAAGTGGTGACTTTCAATTCTTTTAAGTCTTTATTAGTCATTGTATCAGTTCATTTATGTACTTTTCATTTACTTGAGTGTCACGTAGCTATAAACTTTTAATATTGTGTTTAATAATTTTAGTAAAGTTATTAAAAATTAAAAATTAGTTCATAAAATTGTTAAGAATAGTCTTTAACTATCCCGGAATAGAAATAGTTCACTGACATCGCAACATATCACTGTTTCCAAACACACGGGAAGCAGACGGAGGGCTGACCTGTTTGGACAACAAAAAAAAATCCGTTCCAAGAAGAAAAAAGGAAAAATAAAAATGAATTTGAAAAAGCGCGCTTCTAACTTCCTCAACTGTCGAATAAAAACAAAGTGGGTCCCATTTCCACCTGCCAATTCGTCCCCTCTCCCGATTCTCACTTCCACGCCAAGAGAACGAGATCTCTCTTCTCTTGGAACCCTAATTTCTCTCTGTTTGTTCTTCAGTAATGCGTTTCTTATACTGTATCTTTCTCTTCTTTCTTCTGATTTGTGCTTTTCGGAGCTCTCATGGCCGCATCTTTAGCTTCAAGATGCACCATAGGTTCTCCGAACAGGTCAAGAAGTGGTCCGGTGTTTCTGGAAAGTTGTCTCTCCCTGATTCTTGGCCGGCTAAAGGAAGCATTGAGTATTACTCTCAACTGGCCTTACGTGATCGCTACTTTCGTGGCCGGAGGCTATCCGAATTTGATGGACCGCTGGCTTTCTCCGATGGGAATTCGAGTTTTCGGATTAGCTCGTTGGGATTGTACGGTAGCCTTTTTTTTTTTTCCAATGATTTCTATGATTGAGATTTTTCTCGTAACCTAGTTTGATGTTTTCTTTGTATTTTTTTTTTTTTTTTTTGAGATTTTTTGCAGTCTGCATTATACTACCGTACAATTAGGAACTCCAGGAATGAAGTTTATGGTGGCACTTGACACTGGAAGTGATCTGTTTTGGGTACCTTGTGACTGTAGTAGATGCGCGCCCATGGAGGGCTCTCCTTATGCTTCTGTATGCTTTTCGTCACTTTCTTTGGATTATTATGTTTTCTACGTTATTGATTCTTATTTTTCTTGCTTCTGAAATTTTTGCTAGTTTTCTTGGTGTAAAATTCATTGATTATTTTAAGTTCAGATTCTTCAGAATGATCCGAATTTTTAACTCATATTGCTGGTTTCTGATGTTTGCCTGTGAGAGTTCTAGCTTCTACTCAGATGAATAATCAAACCATACACCATTCAAACTCGTAATCTTCTTAGTTTCATTTCTTTCCCTTTCTGTACCTTCTCCACTAAAACGGTGGTTTAAGAAATTTATGACAAGTGGTGTACTAATAAATAAAAGGAAAAAAATGACAGTATATATCTCCTGTCAGTTACTGAATTCACTGATGGTTTCTGTATGTTCAGAATGAGACACCTAGCTTCGGAAGTTAACTCTTCATCTTTTCAACTGTGCGATCATGCAGGATTTTGAGTTGAGTATATACAGCCCCAAAGAGTCGTCAACGAGCAAAACTGTTCCTTGCAACAACAGTTTATGTGCACAACGTGATCAATGCATAAAGGCCTTTGGCAATTGTCCATATATTGTCTCCTATGTATCAGCCGAAACATCAACTAGTGGTATATTGATAGAGGATGTTCTACACTTGAAAACAGAATATAAGCATTCTGAACCTATCCAGGCATACATCACATTTGGGTCAGTATATGCTAATGCTAAGCTTAACTTGATTAGGGACCTTATTACCGGGCAACTCTTTTATGCAAACTGTTCTTATCTGCTCATGTGGTTGCCCTGCCTTTATCCGTCTGTGCAGCTGTGGGCAGGTACAGAGTGGCTCATTTCTTGATGTTGCAGCTCCCAATGGCTTGTTTGGGCTCGGTATGGAGCAAATATCAGTTCCTAGCATATTGTCAAGAGAAGGTTTTATGGCAAATTCTTTCTCTATGTGCTTTAGCGACGATGGAGTTGGAAGGATCAGTTTTGGAGACAAGGGTAGTTCAGAGCAGGAAGAAACCCCATTTAACCTTAACCAATTACAGTAAGTGTAGTTTTGGAGTTGCCAATATCAATATTTCATGGGTTCAACGTCATATTTCTCTATTCATCAAGTTAATGGTATTTCTATTTCAATTTCAGCCCAACCTATAATATCACAGTTACTCACATTCAAGTAGGCACTAATCTGATTGATGTGGATATAGCTGCTCTTTTCGACTCTGGAACATCTTTTACGTACTTCACTGATCCGATCTACTCCAAGCTTTCAGAAAGTGTGAGCACTTCAGTTTATAAATATTTGACATTTATCCACTATAATTGGATTAACTTTGAATTGTATGGAACTTATTTACATTCTCTTTTAGTTTCATGAACAAACAAGAGATGAACGCCATCCCCCTAATCCAAGGATACCTTTTGAATATTGTTATTACATGAGGTCGTGTGCTGAACCTATATGTGTTTATTTTAATCTCAATTCTACATTTATGAACCTTTATTGTTGACCTCTTTATGAAGGCAGTCCAGATGCAAATGCTTCCCTGATGCCTAATCTTAGTTTAACCATGAAAGGTGGAAGTTCCTTTCCTGTCTTTGATCCGATTATTGTCATCTCCACTCAGGTAGTCTGCTGTTTATGTGGTGTTGTTTGTACTGTTTCCTTGAGCCTCAATATTTTCCTTCAAATTTGCAGAATGAACTCATTTATTGCCTGGCCGTGGTCAAGAGTGCTGAACTGGATATAATTGGACGTAAGTAGATTATGCTGCGATTGAACATATTTGCATTAAAATGACTTTCATCTTGGTTCAATAGCAATGGTACTGAAAGCTGGGAAAATAATTACCGGAAATTATGGTGATTTGCTGTCAATCAGTCAATCCATTTTCCATCCAGCTCTTACCTTTCTGGCGACATAATTACTCATGCTTCAACTATTGATCTTTAAGCAGAGAACTTCATGACTGGCTACCGTATTGTATTTGACCGGGAAAAGCTTGTCTTAGGCTGGAGGAAGTTTGATTGTAAGTTATGCGCTTTTATCCACAAATGAATTATCATTCTTTTCAGTCACATTATTATAGTCAAAGAACTTTGGGCTTTTATTTCAGGTTATGACATTGAAGAACAAAATCTCTTTCCAACAAAACCAGATGTTACAACCGTTCCTCCTGCTGTTGCTGCTGGATTAGGTAATCACTCTAGTCCAGGATTGACAAAAGAGACGAAAATTAGTGCTCAAGCTTCAACTGAATCAGAATTCAATGGTTTCCATTCTTCTCTTTTGACTTGCTTCAGATTTTTCATTATATTGCTTTTTTTACTATAGACATCCAATGTTCACCGTTTGCTGACCCATCTGGTAACGACATCTGTGATGTCTTTATATCGTGGTGTTATCTTAAATTGAGAGCCCCACTTTAAACTGTGGATTATAGTTCAAGCCACTCTACCAGAAATCAGTATTCCAAATTATGTAGATTTTGTTGATTGATTGATACACCATAAATAGATTGAGAGGTCGTCCAATGTCTTACCACTTTTATATCCCATTTATCCATATATTGCTGACTGCCGTTGAAATAATAGTGTTGAAGAGCTACTTCTTTGTTCAACCACTGCGCAATTTTCATTTCCGCTATTTATCTAAGTAGCAGGATTGCTTTTTTATTTTATTATATTTTATAACAAGAAATGCAATTTCATTAGTCTGTGAAACATGCAAAGCTTTGCATAAGGTCTCTAGTTGAGGCATATAGATTTAAGACAATGATTTAAACGAAGGTACAGAGAACTATAATTTCCTGCAATTGATCAAAGTTTTCTTTTCTTCTTCAAAAGTCTTTTGTTCCTCTTTATCCATAACTTCCAAAACGCCGCAAACTATTTCAAAAGGCTTATGAGAAGCCATTCCCATTCCTACGTATAGGTATACCCTACAGAGAGTTGACTGTTAAAGATACTAACCATTTATTCCCGTGGTCAGAAGCAGCCGGACAGATTAGGAATAGATGATGTCGACCCACTTGAAAGTAATCGAAAAGCAGCACAAGTTAGGACTAAAAGAGGTAAACAGGTTGCTTCTTTTCACCGTATCATCTAGTGTTAATGTCCTACTAAGTAGAGAGCCCATAGGCACGCTATACATTGCTTAGGAATAGATGCCTTCCACAAGATCTTGCACCCTAGCTGGCTGGATGACTTGACACTGTGAGAGAGATGCAAACAGGGATTTGTTTTAGAAAATATAATTTTATTCAAGAGACCCAGTCCTCGCATTGAAGTTTAGAGAGAAGTTGTGAAGATCATGAATCATGGACCAACGCTACATCCAGTTTCAATCTGGAAGCTTTCTAGTGTATAATTGCAAACATTCTTAACTGAATAGCCCAGGAAAGTGTGTATCAAGTTGTTCAGATATTAAATCAAGAACAGTGAGAGCTGGGGGAAGCAAAAATGGGGGGAACCAATATCCCTTTTCTGACAACATATTTACTCACTATGACTTGTTTTATAAGTGGCTAGTAACTACTTGTAGACGGATTTAGGCAGGCATCTACATATGCATCTATGAGGACATTGCTTAATGATAATTGATTGATCTGCTTTTGTTTGATCATAACCTGAAGTCTGAAAGACAGTAGTGAACAAATTTCATTCTTGGGCGCCTTGAAGGGAACTGATCGAGAGATCTAATGCAGCGAGCCTTGAAGGTTTTCGTGGTTGTCATGTCTAGAGGTATTATTATTGAAATGAGCTGTTGCATTAATTTTCTTTTCTCCATCTCTATTCTTCTTTCTATAGTGCATATTCTATTGTTTTTAGAAGTTATATTATATCATTAAAGTTGAAATGATAATGCAAGCTTAACTTAGACTAATTCTTGCCCAGCTCATCTTAGAAGTCTGACTTTTATAGTTCATGTGAAGCCAATCATCTACATTGACAATTAGCACCAATAAATTATCCTAATAATTCTGTTGGACTTTTTCTCTTAGGTTTCAAATATCTTCTTTTTTCTTGTCTGAAAGCCTCTATTTCCTTGGCATCTCGCACGTCTTTGAGTTCCACCAATAGAATATGCCTATATTTTCTTTCATTGGTAGGTGCTTCTTTCAAATCTATTATGCCTCCTTAAAAGAGAATTATAGGTTGTGGAGGTCAAACTATTAGATTTAACACCAAGTTGTGATGAGAGTTGAGGAAAAATTAAGCTGGATTTTAAACTTGTTTGATTGGTTCACTGCTGAAGATTATGTTCTTTTTTTTTTTTGTTTGTTAAATCCTTGGATTATACTTGAAACTCGTAGTTGAAGGTCCTATTCGAAACTTTTTAAAGTAACCATGCTAACCAAATTTGAAGTTTCATGGACCTATTTCCAGAATTTGTCACTCTCTCTCTCTATCTCCAAGCCTATGTGATGTAATATTTCTTCTCTATTTGAATTTGAAGGATAATTTAATTAATGTGCAACTTCCATTGCACTTGCCATTTTTTTTAGTTGACTTGGTTTTAGAATCTGAAATTTTTGTAATAGAAATCCCATTGCATTTGCTTTGCATGGAAGACTTTGATGATCCAATAGCGGCGGGTCGTCGGATTATAGCGTATGATTAGGAAATCCATTCTTTTTTAAATTTAAAATTCAATAGCGTATGAGTTTATTATACCTTTCCCATTCTTCTTTCGCATATTTTTTTTTGCTTCCCCTTCACATTTTCAGCTAAACTAAGCTTGTATTCTCCCCCTTTAGTTTATCCATAGACTATTTCATAGCCGTGTGCGTATGTCTTGTTTGTATGTATGTATATGTGTATATATGTATGTCTTGTTTGTATGTATGTATATGTGTATATATATATAAAGATAGACTTATTATAAGTCAATCATATTTGAATTGCCTATGATATTTATATCAAGTTTCATTATATGTTAAATTATAAATTTTATCAGCTAAACTAAGCTTGTATTCTCCTCAGTTTATCCATAGACCAATTCATAGCCGTTTAATCTTTATTTTGTGTGTGTCTGTCTTATATGTATGTATGTATCTATCTATATATAAAGATAGACTTATTATAAGTCAATCATATTTGAATTGCCTATGATATTTATATCAAGTTTCATTGTACGTTAAATTATAAATTTTATCCTATGATTTGAAGAAAGTTAAATTTTAATCCTTTTATATCGAAGGTTTGATAAAACCTTTAAAAATAGATCTTATGTTATTAGAATTTTATCAAATTATAGAGACCAATTCTACGTTATAGGGACCCATTTATAATTTTAATGATTATTATAATAGTTTGCTTCAAATGATGAGATAGGATTGGTTCAAACTTTACTCATCAATTCATTTTATTTTATAATATTGTAATGAAGCGTTGAAATTGGGCAAGGCCAAGATGAGGAAGCTTGGGTGGAAATTGCTGAATGTCTAACTACATACCAAGTTGTAACTTGTAATTAGCGTATTTTTAATTTTATTTTATATACTTAAAACAGCTTAGCTTAAATTATAAGCTTAGTTCCTCGTAATAGTTAATATAGTTTTATAAAATTGTCTTAAATAATTTATAGGATTTTATTAAAATTTAGGAAATAATTATAAGAACTAAATTCTAATTTTTTTTCAAAATGATATAATATTTGCATATTCTTATGTCAACGGTCTTCACCAACGGTTTCTGAGCATCCCTTTTCCGTGCCACTCTTCGCTCGTAAACCCACCATTCTACTTTTTCTCTTTTGCAGTCATGTCCTTTTGTTCTCTGTATTTCCCTTTTAGACCTCAAAATGAATTCATAAGATATATTCTAAATTTATTTGTTTGTCCGATAATTGAATATTGAAATATTAATTGTAAAATGATAACAAGTTGGCACGCATTGTATTACTTTTTTATATGTATATATTATATTTCCAAACAATTAGTTATTACTTTTTTAAAAAACTATTAAATATAATTAAAATTAAACTATAAGTATGTAGTGCAATTTATATTAAATAAAAAATTTTAAGACTATTTTTTAAAAAATTGGAAAATTACAAATTTAGTTATTTTGTCATTAAACTTTAAAATGTATAAAAAATTTAACAATTTTCGAAGCTAATTTTTCATAAAACTCGCTAATTGATGTGAAAAACTCATTCACAAAAAATAATAATAATAATAATAATAATAAGCTTTAGATATTTGAAAATAAAATTATTTTTAATATATACAAGTAATAGTTAACATGTAGTTTTTTCTTAAAATGAAAATTTGAAACGTCTTGTACCATATTTACTGTATTAAAAAAATAAAATATTTAAATTAAAAACAAAGAAAGAAAAATTTCTAGCTCTTTTTTCTTATTTTGTAACACAATTATATTTACAACTCTATATTTAGGAAAGCTAGATTGATTAAATTATTATATTTTTCATTAAAATGTCAGAAATTAAAATTCTTTAAAAAAAATGTTGCTGAAAACAATTTTGGGCAGGTTTATGAATTATGAAACTTCCCGCCCACTTTTTTTCATTTATGAATTCTTCAGGGACCATATCTGTAAATTCCAAAAATATATAATAATACATTAATAATATTTTTTATTTCCGGCATGAAGGGAAATGTTTTGACTTCTCTCAGCAGAGAGACCAGAATTTCATCATCTTCTGAAGTTCAACGCCTCTCTCTCTCTCTCTCTCATCCTGCTCATGTTCTTCATCCTTGAATCCGTCAAAGCTTCCTATCCCATTCGATTCTATTTAAACTCTTTTCAAATCCTTCCATGTCTTCATCACTTTCCCGGGAAATTTCTGGTTACTCTAATCGGCGTCCATGGCGTGGACTTTCAGTTCCGGCGTCCAAATGTTACTGGTTCTTTCTGTTTACCTACTTGCCTGCGGGCTCAGAAGCGGCGAGGCGGCTTCGTTTAAGTTCAATATTCACCATCGATTTTCGGAATCGATAAAGGGAATTCTCACGTCTGAAGGCTTACCGGAGAAACACACCCCTGCCTATTATGCCACTATGGTCCATCGCGATATGTTAGTTCGCGGCCGGCGACTGGCCTCCAGCAACGGCGATACGAAGCTGACGTTCGCTTATGGCAACGAGACGTTCTACATCGAAAATTTGGGATAGTAATGCTCCTTGTTTTCTCGCTTCATTTCCCTAATTGCTTCTCTCGATTTCGATTTCTGAGTGTTTGTGATTTTCTGTTGTTCTGACTTTAAACGTTATCGATTGCCTAATTGATCCGTTTTGTTTGCTTCTGATTGGGGCTTTTCAGTTTGTACTACGCCAATATATCGGTGGGATCGCCGTCGTTAGATTTCTTAGTGGCATTGGACACTGGAAGCGATTTGCTCTGGTTACCTTGTGAATGCCGTAGTTGTTTAACTTATTTGAACACAACAGATGGTGGGAAGGTATTTTCTCGTTCTGATTTACTTAGTTGATGCTCTGATGATATCAATTGGTTGATTTATTTTTTGTTCATCTTTCAACAGTTTGCGTTGAATCATTATAGTCCAGATGATTCAACAACGAGCGCACCTGTTCCCTGCAGCAACTCTTTGTGCGAGCTCTCAAACCAGTGCACTTCGAACACAAATACTTGCCCTTACGAAATTAATTACCTGTCTGCCAATACCTCATCCACTGGCTACTTGGTACAGGACGTCTTGCACTTGGCCACTGATGATTTAAAACTCGACCCTGTCGAATCCAAGATTACTTTTGGGTGAGTTATGCTGCATATAGTTTGTTTCTAATCCTCTAGAATAGGAATCACGATCCTTTACCATGGTATGGTATGTTATAATGTTGTCCATTTTGAGCATAAGCTCTCGTTGTTTTACTTTTTGCTTCCCCAAAAAACCTCATACCAATGGAGATAGCGTTTCTTACTTATAAACTCATGAACAACTCCTTAATTAGCCAACGTGAGACTCCCAACCAACAACAATACTCCTCTTGAACAAAGTACACCATAGAGCCTTCCCTTAATCGATGTTTGATTCCTTTCTCAGGAGCCCTCGAATAAAATACACCTTTTGTTCGACATTTGAGTCACTTTCAACAAAAAAAAATTTGATATTTTTTTGTTAATAGTAGCAAAGGTGAGCTAGACCCTAATTGTATGTATCCTTAGCTAAGAGATTAGAACTTTGAATCTTCGCTATCTAGATGGTGCTATGGTGCTGTTCTTCATGTAATTTTAATGATCTTTGGGCAGTTTGTTATGGATTTCATAGTCAACATAATCATCTTTGAGAAAGCATCTGCAATTTGGTGTGTTGTTGGTTGAATGTGATTGTTCATGGCAGGTGCGGTACGGTTCAGACTGGTGTATTTCAAAGAGGTGCAGCTCCCAATGGTCTTATTGGGCTTGGCATGGACAGGATATCAGTTCCAAGCTTATTAGCAAACCAAGGGCTTACCACAGATTCATTCTCCATGTGTTTCGGGATTGATGGTATTGGGAGAATCGATTTTGGAGACTCAGGCACCCCAGGCCAAAGAGAAACACCCTTCAATACCATGGCCAACTAGTAAGAACTCGTCATTTCTTCACCATATATTCAAAATCTGACCTTCATTTCTCTTGGGGACTCTGGTTTTTCCAACTGGCTTGTGTTGTTCATTCTTGCAGTCCATCCTACAATGTCACCGTCACTGAGATAATTGTGGGAGGAAAAGCCAACAATGTCGAATTCACCGCAATTTTCGACTCCGGTACCTCGTTTACCTACTTGAATGAACCAGCTTACTCCATTATTTCTGAGCAAGTAAGCTTATCTGCAGTTTCAACTCTTGGGAAGTGGCATATGATTTCATGGGATCTCTTGTATTTATACATAGCTATTGTGCAGATGAATGCAGGAATGAAACTAAAGCGCTTTACAACAGATCCCGATTTCCCATTTGAGTACTGCTATGAACTTCCGTAAGTAGCTAATAAGGAAAGATAATGAAACCATTTAATTCTCTTTCAAAAGATTTGGGTATTCTGATTCATACTCGGTCTATATATATGCAGTGCTAACGACAAAGTTGAACGTCCGATACTGAATTTTACGATGATGGGTGGGGACGATTTTGTCCCCATGGATCTGTTCATTGGTTTTCCTATTGACGTGAGTACTCTGAACAGTTGAAGTAATTTTTTCAGATTTGGATAAAGATAAGATCAAAGGACAAGTTATCCAATGAGTGCTTTGGATTTTCTGCCTCTCTCACTCGTTTATGCAATCTTTGAAGCTGATTTTGATCTGTTTTTTCTGTTATTTTTTTGGAATTCAGGATACTACACATGCAGTTTGTCTAACCCTTATCAAAAGCACCGATATTAATCTAATTGGACGTGAGACCCCCTGGCTCTGCATCTAATTTATATTGTCTTGTTCTAGTACTAGTGGTTTTTTTTAACTAGGTTGGAAGAATCGCTTATGATCCCATGAACTTTCTTTTTCTTGCAGAGAACTTCATGACTGGTTACCGTATTATCTTCGATCGTGAAAAGATGGCGTTGGGATGGAGTCCTTCAGACTGTGAGTATTTCTTGACCTGAAAATTTCCTTCTTTTTTTTTTTTTTTTTTTTTTTTTTTGCATTGTCAGTGAAGCTTGTTTCTTAAATCCAGGTTACGACAGTGACGCCGGCACTCCCTCCGGTGACACCCCTCCGGCCAAAGACTCCCCCCCGGCCGACGACTCTCCCCCAGCCGAGGACTCTCCCCCGGCCGAAGACTCTCCGCCGGCAGAAGACTCTCCCCCCACCGACGATTCTCCATCGCCACCTTCTTCCCCCGGAGGAAGCACCGGTTTGCCGAAAATTGGGGGTGATGCAACGCGGTTGAATCCATTGACCTCTGTGTTTGTCGCCGTTCTTGCAATTTTGGCTGTTGTTTGACTTTGATTATTATTCTCTGGGTATCGTTCTGATTTGTTTGGTGTATTTTTAATTTTTTTTTTGAAGCAATAATTTAAGAAGGAAACAGTTTTGCTGCTTCCACTTGTTTGTATTTTGTAAATCAGTGTTACTCAAAATTTATTACAAATTTGCAGGTCGGTAAAATTCTGAACTATCTACTAAACTCCTGAATTGCAACTATTTCAATTTATCATTCAATTTGAATTGATCTTAAATTGGATCTCAAGTGAAATGATAAAATAATTGTGAATTTTGAATAGAAGAATTCAATCTTGAGAATGTGACATAATATAGCTAGTTAAGACAGAGACATTAGACATTAACAGACACTGATGAAATTATGGGGGGAAAAAAAAACACAAAAATCTACCCAAAATTGTTAAAATAAACAAATTACATCATTGTTGCGTATAATATTCAATCCTCTGTGCCTTCCATTTTTCTTGGCTTCTTTTTACCTGACTTGTTGTTCATGATTGGTGGTAATTGTCGTTCTTCTCCCGTTGCTCGTGTTGCTCGTGGACGCTTTTTTCCATCTTCCTTCGGCGTTTTACGACCACCAGATTGCAACTGAAGCTGCTGTGATTTCATTTTAATTGATTTGACTAATGAAGAAAGCTCGTACTTCTTCGTTGAGGAATCTCCCTCAGTCATAACAGGGACGTTGCTGTTCACCGTGTCGTCCCCCGATGCTGCAGGCTGTTTCGTGGAAGACTCCCCAAGCTGGCTTTTTGTTAACTGATATCCATCAACCTTTTGCTGCTTCAATGCCACTTGACGAACATAAGCAGCGCTCCTGCAAACAAGAGACTTATATCTCAGAATCATGAGAACTAAAATGATATACTAATAATGGCAAGCTCTGCACTGCCCTTCAATGGATAAGGCACATTCGCCTAATCAGTTCATATCGTTGCAAGAATTATATTTTGGAAATAAAAAGTTGTTTAGAATCTATAGTATTTCAATAATTGTCAGAAGTATTTATGATACCTTTTGAATTGAGGGTCTGTGGGATCCAAAGCATAGAGAGGGGAATTGAAGAGTGCTGAAAACCGTGGATCGCTGTAATCGACCGTCGGTATTTTATCTTCGGCAATATCTTCCTTCCCCTTTTTCTTCTTATGTTTCAAATTGTATCCTTTGATACCAGTGTCAACGCCGTCGTCGTCAGCAAGAAGCAACTCGAGCTCTGCTCGGCTGGCTTCTGCTTCCCCATCTAGACCGACATGTTCCCTGTCTTTAATGTTTTTCGTTCGATCCTTCTTGCTTTGTTTAACTGGAGGCTCTTCAACGAAAAAGTCACCTGCTTCTTCACCAACCTCTCTATCAGTGTCACTGCTGTCATCATCTGATGACCGTGCAGATTTACTTCTTGCGTTCACCCGTTTCTCGCGTCTTTTTCGAAGATGAGCCTCCCACAACGTCTCTGATTTCTTATCCTTCTTTTCCAGGATTCGCTTGCTTATATCTTCTAAGCCGGTGTTGAAAGTCACCTCCATATCCTGACCACCATCCTGCTCACCATCTTCATCAGATTGAAGCAAGGCACGGTACTTATCTCCTTTCTTACGCTTTTTGTCTGTTTGGTCCTCCACTCCATCATCATCACCACTTTCATCCTCACTTTCACTTTCATCAGATGCCAGAAATTCCTTGAGTTCCAAATCAGCCAGCTATAAGCAAAAATATTGTCAGTAGAGGAGGCTAAACCTTGAGGAGAATACATAGGAAAAGAAATGCAATGATTATCTCTAGACAGCCTTAGATAATACAACCAGCAAAAGGATTATATCGTTAACTCCACTCTTCTTGATACCAAAATCCATATTTCCACATCTCTCAGCAAAATTGGTGAATGATGCTTATTATGCGTACCAAATCATACATCCAATCGGAAATTCTAAATCAAAACCAATGTAAAAGAGAGGCTGACAGGTTTGGGGTTCATAAAAATTAAGTCCTTTCCTATTCATTTAAAGTTTGTCTAATTTAAACCCTGAACTTCCATAACTCGCTTATCGCATGCATAACATAGACAAGTTTGATAAGAATTATGACATGTTACTTGAATATATCAACAACATGCAACAAAAACTAACAATACAGAAGATGATAATACATAGAGGCCACAAACCTAACTAATGAAGCCCAAGATACCGTAAACTGTTGGAAAGCCAAAAAAGTACAAAAAGCTCATATGATGCACATATATCATTTGAGAAACTGGTATCGAATAATAGCATCATTGAGTACAAACCTGATCCGCATTGAATTTTCGTTTCAAGGCTGTTACTCTTTGGGGTTCATCCTCATCCCAAGAAAGATGAATTTTACTATGCTGCAGGGCTGGAGTATGGAAATTTAAAACTTCATAACTTGAAGGTGCCTGATATACAAATGGAATCCTATTAGTCTCGTCCAATTACCTTTCCACACTGCATAATGAACACTATATATGGCATGCAATTACAAATGGAAAGAAAGGGTTTAAGCAAGAGCAAGTAACAAAAATCATAGAGTTAATACGAGAACTTATCTGTAACTTCCAAAAATTGTAAGGAAAAATTGGTTAGTGAGAATGAACATCTTTTAAGCAATAAGTGCGAGAGACCAGTTATGTGTTTTTTTTTTCCCTTTAGATAAGGTTTCAAACTTTCCTCGAAAAAAAAATGAAAAAATACAAAAAAAAAAAAACCCAAACAAAATGGAGGTAAACTAAAGCAAGAATGGATTTCAATCAAGCACAATGAAACCTAAAGAATAATTACATAAAGACTTCAGAATCAATGCCTAAAGAGAGACACGAAACCGAACAAGAGCCAATACATCCTCCAAATATCTCTCGAGCCCTCAAGCCATGGACACTAATCTTCTCTATACTTCCTCAAACAGTGTGCCTTCTGTTACTTTGAAGCTCTCTTAACACTAGCTCCTGTCTCAACCATGCCAATGGAATCCAGCCTCAGAAGTCCAAGCCAAATTAAGAATGAATACATGGCTCCAACAACAATCATTTTGAATTCCATACTCAATGATAACTATTTTCATCTAAAATCTTGTCATCTTGGATTCATAATTCAATTTTTATTATTTTGCAAAGGCAAAGAAGATTCAATTATGAAATGTTTTTTTCCTTAAATCCGTGGATAGAACTAAAAAGATTTTGCTATCCTTATCAAATCAAACTTACCTATAACTATAAGTTATTCAGTGATTAACTAAATTTTTGAATTATGTTTCGCACGTGTTAGAGAATCATTCTGGAGTATATGACATCTTTAATATTCTTATCTAAAAAGTAGCAACTTCAATATAATATTATAACATTCACTACAGCAAAATTACTTCCAATCAATGTCTAAGAGGATATATACATCAAATGATTAATAAACAAACCTCTGTAGCAGTGTCCCTAGGAGGGTGTTTAAATTCCATCGAGTCTGGAATAAACCTCAAATCAAGCACATTTGAGGACCTTTCAAATTCCACTCCATCACATGTTTTGTAAAGGTAATCAGCTGTGGCAATAGAATCACATTCCACCACAGCATAATAGTACCTGTACACAAATAGCATAAATTGCAATGATTAGAAAAAATACAGAGAGAGAGCCATATTAGAGGCTATAACAGATATTCCATACAATATGCATTTGATTCAACTAAGACCAGACTAAATTTGATGGTGAAATCAATAAATTCAAATGAACTGGTAATTTTTCAAAATGAATATGAAAAGCAGCATCAGAAAAAGAGACCTTAGCCTACTCATTTCATAAGCTCGCAATTTCTCATTATCAATCTCTTCGTCATCGTCATCGTCATCGTCATCGTCACCGTCATTTTTCTCTTGTTCATCATCAAACAATCCAACTGGACCATGTAACTCTTCCTCTTTCATACGTTGAAGCCCAAACTCAGATGGGTAGACTGCCACAGACAATATTTGTCCACCTTTTGGAAGAAATGAACTTAGTACGACGAACAAATCAACAGCCTACATAACACGACATGATTTAACCAAGTCAAGTACAGATAATGAGGCAGATAAAATATCATTATCAAAAGACTGCCAAAGTGTGTGCTAATCTGCAAATAAGTGAGAAAGAGAGAGAATATTCATACTTAGTAGTAATACGAACTCCTAATACATATCCAAGCATTGTAAATCAGGGCAAGGCTTATACAAGAAAACAGCTGTTACTTTTATCTACATAGACATGTGAGTATGTGGAAAAATTCCGAACATGAAATGACATTTCAGTGAAGGAAACAAGGTAAACACGAATCACAAAAGAACAGTTGGAAGATAATTGAAATGTCGTTGACTACAACATCAACACACAAATGACTAACAATAGCAAAAGAGCGGCAGAATGGACTATCTGTTTCTGCCAATCAATACAGACTTCACTGTTCATTTTGATCGATCTACAAAATGAATTAAATCCATATAATCTATCCCCTGAATTACAATAACATTTTCATTCAGGGATAGCACCTTAAAGGACAGCCAAATCAAAATATTGTGCATATTCACTTCTTAAATGCAGTCAACATCCATTATAACCTATCTTGTGCTCAGCTTTCCCATCCATTGGGTGATTTTTTTTAGTACAGCATTAAGGCTTGAACCTAAATTGTTTTAAGTACATAAAAAAAAAGGCATAAAGAGAAGATATTCAAGATAGGGTTGTAATTAAGAACAAAATTCTGAGTCACAATTTACACTTGGTTAATACGAATTATTGACGAAATAAACATTGCCCAAGATATCTATTGGCTCAACATACCTTCACGTGCCTCCAGTCCAAGTTAACAACTGCAAGCCTGTGAGTTTCCTTGTCGATTTCTGGAATATTCTCCACCTGACAATACAGGAATCCATGATGATTTCAAACATTGCTACCAATTTTACACAATTAAAACCGAACGACAGACAATGAGTGGCAACAATACAATAAATTATGGATTAACAAAACATTTGTGTGCATCGGTTAGCTGTGAAAAATCCAAATAAAATCCAAGTAACGAGTTAATCATCTGGTTATAAACCTAGACCCTACCCCAATCCCAAAAAATAAAATTTGAGTGAGTGGCAACAACAAAAATGATTAACAAAATCATTTGTGTGCTTTCGCTGAGTGAAAAATCCGAGTTCATATGCAATCTGCTGATAAACCCCCCACCCCCCCAAAAAAAAAATTAAAACAACATAACGAAGCTGCAAAATCTATTTTCTCTTCAAGATCAGTTGTTCGCTTAAAAGATGAGTTCGATGAACCTTTGGACAAAATATAAAATACAAGTATAAACAAATATCTAAAACTTTGAAAATATTCAAAACGTACCGGCAATTCAGATGTTTCATCATCGTAAATCTCATCCAGATCACTTTGGTCCGTATCAGTTGTGTAGTAGTCGGATTCTATCTCTCCATCATCCTCGGACTCTGACTCCTCCAACTCTAATATCTGATTCTTTTCCTCAACCTCAACATCACTCTCTACACTTTCACTGTCAACCTTCTCCTCCTTTTCTACATCTTCAATCTTTTCCTCCTTTTCTACATCTTCAACCTTTTCCTCCGTTTCTACGTCCTCCTCACTATCGTTCTTTTCACTTTTTTCTTCAATTTTATAATAATGACGTAAGGGATTCTCCGATTTACCCTTCTTTGGCTTACCTCGCTTATCCAATTGAGCCGAAGAGGAACCAAACCTCTTGTCAACGAACATCCGGTCAAACCGCGAATCAATCGCAACTTTTGCTTTATGCTTAGGGACATTCTGAAAGCGAGGATCAAAATGCACGGACGAGAACCGAGGATCAGTGATAATTTTCTTATTGTCTGAGGCTGAAGACTGAAGATTTCTCTCCTCTTTACTTTTGTTACCCTTGTTCTTTTTCCTAGAGTTACTCAAACTTTTGGAACCCATGACAACGGCCGGCCACTCACCTCTGCGTATAGTCCTGGCGGGAAACGACTACCACTGCGTACAGTCCGGGCGGGAAACGACTACCACTACGTACAGTCCGGGAGGGGGACGACGACCACTCGCTGCGAACAGTCCGGGCGGAGGAACGACGGCGACTAGCGTATCGTCCGGGCGGAGAAGGCGGTGGAACGCTGCGCGATGGAACTAGGGCTTAAGGCGTCTAGGGGTTATATATGTACCTGATGTTTGAACGCGGGATAGTGTAACCCTGAGATGGATAATCATTAGATATTTACCGAAGCATCATTTCGGATCAATAGCCGGGTTGAATCCGGAATGCTACAAGCCCATAACCGACCTTGGCCCTTCATTCAAGCATATTTAAAAAATGAATATTTTTATTCTCTTTTAATTCAAAATTTTTTAAGAAATAATTAATATAAATAAACTAATAAAATCTGAAAATTTAAAAAAAAAAAAAAAAAAATCTCTATATAAATTTTAAAGTTTTTAATCTGAAGTTATTTAAAAGAACATATGTTCATATCCAAATCAATTTATGAAAGGGTTGGTTAACTAGGCTAGTCAACTATTGACCTTGGGCCGGGCTTGGATTAGACTTGGACGGCCTTTGGGCTTTAAGCCCAATCATAACAACTGATATATTAAATCTAACCATTGATATATCAATTCTCTCTCGAACTAGTGTTTGGATCTTTTTCGGATGTCACTCATTCTCTCAAGTTTTAGATCAAATCCATTGACACAAATAGGTCAGGAGAGAAAATTGAGTTATTTGAGACCAGGATGATTGACAGGGCAAACTGCTAGTTTTCGATACGAGATATCCATCCTAGTCATTATGGACGCATTTGCCCCATTGACACGTATGAAGGAATTAATGTTGGACTTATTGGATCATTAGCAATTGATGCAAGGATTGGTCGGGATCTCTAGAAACTCCATTTTATGAAATTTATGAAAGATCAAAAAGAGTGCGGATGCTTTATTTATCACCAAGTCGAGATAATACTATAAGGTAGCGACAGGAAATTTTTTGGCACTAAATCCAAGCATTCAGGAAGGACAGATTGTTCTAACTCGATACCGTTAAGAATTCTTGACTATTGAATAGGAACAAGTTCATTTTCGAGAGGTGGGCTCCATTGTTCAAGTTTTGAAATAAGCACCTAAGGAAATTATTCATCTATTTACCCAAAAAAAAAAAATGAATTTCATTTTGTGAAAATTGTGTTTCTTACGGCATAGTCAATCCTAAAATGATAGACATATTAAATCGGCTAAAAAAGTTATTCTCACATGCAAATCAAACGACAAGTCCTCGTATGTAGAAGTTTATAACTCATTCAATACTAAGATCGAGTTGCATATGATCTATCCTGTGAGAACATAAATTAAGGTATTTTTACTAACAAACAGCAAAATTGAAGGGTTTTTTTTTCTTTTTCTTTTTCTTGAAACTCAACCAAAACCAATACCACATACAAAGTAGGACCCAAACCAATAAAAAAAAAAGTAATGGTTAAATAACAAACAGACAGATTTTTGTGTGTATAATTTACATATGATTTATCTAACCCAACACTTTTACCCAAATCCCCCACTTAATTACACCTAATCCCAATCATAAATATGTAAATCTGATAATATAAACATATATACACACAGATAAATGATACTTTGCTTTCCTAAAAGGATTTGTTTAGAAGAGATGTCAAAGTTCAAATAATTGCACAGAAAATGAGTAATTTTCTTCTATCATTAATAACCAGGCAGGTGCATGATTTGACAATAACTAATAATGCATTAAGCTTAAATAGCAAGCTATAAACAAACCAGAAAGCTCTATCTCAACAACCTATTTTCAAACAGATTCCTCCCTAAGTTGAATAACATATTTAATTTTACACTAACATGTTACAATGTAATAAGTTAGATTCATACAAATGCTAATAATTCAAATCATGTCACGTAAAATATAAGAGTGGGTAAAATGTAATTGTCATCTTTTTACAAAACTTCCCCACTCAACTTTTGAAAAACATAGGATTAAAATAGTATTTGATTTTGACCGTTTCACTTTTTTTTTTAATCTTAAATGATCTATTGAGTTATTTAATTCATCTTCATCGTTTTATATGGTTTATTTGTGTCTTTTTTACATTTTATCATATTTGGAATGATAAGTCTCTTTCATGTCTTCACGTTAGGTCTAATTGACTTTAAGATTCCGTACGAATATAAATTTTTTTTCTTCCTAATTCTGTTTTAGGAGATATAAATTAAAGCTGCAGTAAACTAACGTGAAGTTATTAATGAGCTTCCCATTTGCCAATTCATGGCAATAATGTTCAATTTTTTTTATAATAAAACAAAGAAATGAAGATAACTAAATTATTCCACAAATAAAAATAATGATAATAAAGTTTTATTCAATAACCCTTTTGTTTTTTGTTTTCGTAAATTAAATTTGTAAATATTACTTTTAATCGATTCTCTAAGATAAAATTCATTTTTTTTAAAAGAACATTTAAATTTTAAGTGAAATTTCAAAAGCAAAAACATAGTTTGAAAACTACTTTTCTTTCATTTTCAAATTTTGGCTTGATATATTAATACATATGTAAAGAGTAGATAATAAAATAAATAAACTCATGTAACTAAATTTTTCAAAACCAAATGATCATAAAAGGAGCCTAAAAAATAGTTTTAAAAGCTTGTTTTTGTTTTTAAAAATTGGTTAAGAATTCAAAGGTTTTCTTAAAAAGATCCAAATGAAAAAACAAACATAATTTTAAAACACTAAACAAAAATCCAATCAAATGAGCTTAATATATTTGTTAAAAGAACACGACTCTCCACAATGGTATGATATTGTCCACTTTGAATATAAACTCCCGTGGCTTTGCTTTGGGCTTCCCAAAAGGCCTCATACCAATAGAGTTAGTATTTCTTACTTATAAACCCATGATCATTTTCTAAATGTCCCATCATCCAACAATATTAATTGTTTCTCAAGATAATATCTATCAAATTCTTGCAATCAGACGTTAACATCATTTATTTACTTAAGGTTTGTTTTTACTTCATTTCTCCATAATGCACGACTATTTTAACACAACCTCCCAAGAATTGTAAAGCCATATTAAACTTTTTATAGCATAAAGTTCATTCAATCTTTGTTAAATAATAAAGTCACTGCAAGCTACCCTACAATAATTTAAATATAAGGTAAAGGGATACTATAACATACCTTTTACTTTATAAACGAAGAAAATCGCTCCTCCTGAATTGCCTATTGAAATTAAGAAAACTCGTTAGCTTTCAATCAATTAAAAAAAAAACAATTTCCAAAACCGTGTTTGTTAAAGTGCACCAAATTATTTGTGACCAACTATGATGCAAAAACTACAACAATGGGAGGGTAAAACCTTTTTGGGGTTTCAAGATCTTTTATCCAAAGCAAACATAATTATTACCAAAATTTTGCATGATTTTGTCCCGCGAGCAAGTCCAAAAGTTGAAGATTCACAGAGCAACAGCAGCTAGTGTTGTGCATGTTGTTGGATTAACATTGCTTCAGAATCACTTCTCCATTATTTGCTTTGATGTTCAACTTCTGGGGCCGCTATCATGTTCACAGTTTTGTTTTGTAACTCTTCTATCATTTTTCATTTCCTATAAATAACACATAATCTTCACTTTAATATCCCAGGCTGGCTTTGTTTAGTACAGAGAGAGAGAGAGAGTAGCATTTGTACCTATATTTGTAGGTCATGGCTTCCTTTGCCGTGGCATTCTCACACTTTGCAATCCTTTTGCTGACTGCTGTGTCGTTGGGGAGTTCGCTGAGCTTAGACTACTACGACAAGACATGTCCCAGTGCCGACTTCATCGTTACTAAAGCTGTCAGGAATGCAGCTTACAAAGATAAGACTGTCCCTGCTGCACTCCTCCGAATGCACTTTCATGACTGCTTTATAAGGGTAACCTTTAAAATTCTCGACATGTTCAATACTTCTCTAAGTTACAAAACTAACCTGGTTATGTTTGCCTGGGTGAAGGGTTGTGATGCATCCGTATTGCTGAACTCAGTAGGGAACAACAAAGCAGAGAAAGATGGGCCAGCTAATTTGTCTTTGCACTCGTTTTTTGTGATAGACGACGCGAAGAAAGAACTAGAATCCTATTGCCCTGGCGTTGTCTCTTGTGCTGATATCTTAGCTATGGCTGCAAGGGATGCAGTTGTGCTTGTAAGAAAGCATATAATTCAAATGATCTTTTGCCTAGTAACAAGGATGGTTTGAAATTTAGAAGTCCAAAACATTTTCTTTCTAAAAGGAAATAATTTTGTGTGTCTGTCTTACAGTCTGGAGGTCCAACATGGGATGTTCCTAAAGGAAGAAAGGATGGAAGGACATCAAAGGCAAGTGAAACAATACAATTGCCATCTCCAGCCTTCAACATTTCTCAGCTGCAACAGAGCTTCTCCCAAAGGGGACTATCCTTGGACGACCTAGTTGCTCTGTCAGGTAAACCACATATGACGAATGCATCAGCGTAAAATATCAGTACAACATAAGATTATTAGAGAAAGAATAAAGTCGTCCTATCAAAGATATAAGCATAAACATTGTCATATGATGCAGGAGCACACACCTTAGGATTTGCTCATTGCTCATCCTTTGAAGGTAGAATCCGCAACTTCAGTCCAGCCAGCAATGTTGACCCTGCAATGAATCCATCGTTTGCAGGAAGTCTAAGAAACATGTGCCCAGTAAACAACAAGGCAAAAAATGCGGGCGCTAACATGGATACTTCTCCGACCACATTCGACAACAACTACTATAGACTGATACTCCAAAAGAAGGGCCTGTTTTCTGCTGATCAAGCTCTGCTCAACTTTCCCAAGACCAAGAATCTTGTTAATGAGTTTGCTAGCTCAAAGGAAGCTTTTACCAGAGCATTTGTTAATTCCATGATCAAGATGAGTAGCATCACTGGAGGACAGGAGATCAGAAAGAATTGTAGGGCAGTGAACTAAAAGCTACTCCTGATAGCTCTGTGTGTTTTGTTTGCTAGACTAATAATCATCTATTTAAGCAATGGGAGCTAAGTACCCATGGCTAGATTGTATTCAGTACTGTTAAAATCATATTACAAATGTTCTCTTATATATGGTCACCAATGGAATGCCTATATTTCTGCCTTCATTTTTCACTTTACTCTCAGATGTCTCCAATTAGAGATGAAGTTACTTCTACGGTGATGTCTCCAGTACCTACATCCACTAATCACCCACTTTAAGATTCTCCAATTCGTACCCAACTGAACCTAATGGACAAGAAAATAATAGGAATCAGATCTAAGCTACTTCGTTAAAGCTCAAGCCACCTGAAAACACTGAAAAATTATGCAGGAAACTCCGGCGGCAAGAGAAATAGAACCAGGAGAGGATGGTCAGCATGAATGTACCAAAGCAAATGTTCAAAGAAAATGAGATTTTATCCTTTCAACCTATGACATTAATAAATTCTAGTCTGAGACAACTAAAAAAAAAGTATTAATTAGACAAAGATTTGGCAACAACAACCAAACCACTTGATGCAACTCCTCTCCTCCTCTCCCGGTAGATTTGTCGGCAGTTGAAGAACAGTAACGTGTGTTGGGTGAATTATGTGCCACAAAGTCTATAGACCCACGATTATGCAAAGGAATAACTGATAAGACAGTGGATTAAAAGGAAGAACCAAAAAAAAAAGTGAGCTAATTGATGATTTGAAATTTACAATAGCTCCTAATAATGCATATAATTGAACTCTCAAAAACAGGTATTTCATTCAACACAAGTCCTAAATTAAAGTTTCAACCTGCACAAATGCAGTAACGCACTAGTTTTCTCAACAGTTATCTCAAAAATTTCTAGGCATCTGCCACTGAACTTGAAATTACGAGAACGCCTAAAATAGACTGGGAATACATTCTCACTCACATCAAAGTGGACAAAGACCATGAACTTAACAAGTCCACCAAACACTTGTAAACCTCGTCATTTCACCAGAGAAGTTTCCTGTTAGAAGTAAAAAAAATTTATAACTCAGGTTACCAAACTCCAAAAAAGATCGTGTATTAATAAATGCATTTCCTTACCTTGACTGGATCACAATTGAGAACAATCTCGGCCAATTGAATATTGCCACTCAGATTTGATGCCTTGTGCGATGGCATGAATGCAAAGCCGTCAACAAGCTTCTCACACTTCAACCCCCATTTGACCATCAAGAACTCAATCAGATGGTGCCCACTGTACCATTTGAAGGACAATGAATTGGTAAAGGTGGAAAATAATGATAACAATGATAATAATCATAATTATAACCATCATGATCACGGAACCACCAATTTCCCCTATTCCCCAAGATATAAGATAATACTATCAACTATCAAGTTACCTGCGATTGTGGTAGGTTGTTATAAAAACTGATCCCGGTGAACTTTGGAGAAGAAAGGCCACGGTTGAAAAGAGATCATCAAATGCTTCCCAACAAAAACAAAACTCAATTTCAGAACATTTTTCCCCATAAACAAAGATGCAAAAGTAAAAGGCAATTGGATCCCAAATTGATCCTATGGTCCTACCACTGTTTTCGTACAATACATCGGCCCCAATAATGATTGTAGGTCGTAAATTGAATATTGATGTGTCCCAAACCCCCCATGTAAGTCCTATTACCTACACTTATCAGAAACTCCTCACTAAGCCAGATCCGTTAAGATGCAATTAGAGGAAAAAATAGCAAGAAAAATACTAGTAATAGATTTACGTTACAGTTGAGCTTATTCAGGTCACAAACTCTCCTGATATTATCCAGCACCTGCAAATTCAAGAGTCGGCCAGTGGAAGGAAAATATGAAGATCAAGCATCTAACTGCCCGTTTACGTAGTTATCTCAGTGAATTTGGTTCTAAACACAGTTTGCCTCATCCTTAGTGCGAGAAACTCCTTTAGCTTGACCTTTTTATGATTCATTTTTAAAAGCATTAATTTGAACCACCTCCCGCCCAAAAAGGAAAAAACAAAACAAAAATGAAGTTCATATAACTTGATTAGTGGAAATATGATCAAGGAGGTGAAAAATTCTGCTGCCATTTTTTTTACAATTGATGCAAGAAGTGGAACTTAAATTATCAAGCGAAGTAACAAAGACGAAGTAATACCTCCACTCTGTTAGCATCGTCAGTCAAAGTAACATTAGCGCCTAATTTAGCTGCAACCAATCCAGGCAATGAAGTACCGGCACCGAGCTGCAACCAATTTGGAGGTCACAGAGTCACCCTAGACATTAAACTTCCCCGATTCAAAATGATCAAGCATATCACCCAAACTCTAACTCTACTGGTCATTTGCTTCTAGGATACCTCGTTGGAGACAGGTTCAAAAGAAAAGGATAATACACAAGTACCTCAACGACGTTAGCACCAGAAAATCGTGTTTTCTGCTGCCAAATATACTCGGCAAGGATAATACCGCAAGGCCACACATAAAGCCCGTAATCCTCTTCCATATTCTGCAGTTTCGAGGCAATTACAAAAGGAGATTGTTAAAGTTTCTCTGTCTATCGATATTTTGAAGAAAGAAATGGAAGGAGAATATTGACACCTCGATGATGGAAATGGTGAAGACCGATTCGCCAGCATCGTCTTCAAAAACATGACGAGATATTGTAGTCGATGAGGGAGCGGCCGAGTCGTCGGAGCTACCGTCTTCCATGTCGCTCGCCGGCGATTGCCGAAACAAATAGGACCTGCTTTCCACTGGCGGGAGCGCGAGGAAGTGTAACTACTGGGCCGTCCTAGTCCAATAGAGAGAGATTCTTATAATTAAATGAGCCCAAAACGATCTCTCAAGGCTTATGGCTCCAACATTTCTTATATTTCAGGTCATAATCACGTTACTTACTTTAACTTTAGTTACATAAAAATTATTCCCATATTAAAACGAATCTTTTAATATACTTTTTAGAAAAATAATCATGTTTACAGGTAAAAAAAACATGCTCAAATAATTTATATTGGTTTACGAATACAGTTTTTTACCGTATAGTATTGTCGTAAGAATATAGAAAAATGTTGAGACCGTTAAACGATTTTAACTCTTGGTCTGAATCATAGACATGAATCGTTACGTAGTGCAAATAATTTAAAAATTAAATATTATTAAATATTTTTAAAAACTATACATTAACATATAATATATATGATTTTATAGATGTCATAATAAATTCTCACATCATATTCCATTTGAAGCCATTTAAAAAATATGGTATATAATATAGTTGGCGCAATAAATATTATCAAAGGGAAAAATAAAGGAATTTCCTTCTATTTAGCCGCTATGTCTTCAACTAATATTTTTGGCAAAATCAAGAGCAAATTTAATATTATAAATATTAAATAAGGAAAATATGAGAATCTTAAAATTAATTATTTCTATTTTTTTTAGTAGACATAGCTTTTATTTATTTATTTTATTAGAAGGTATGAGATTCTCAAATGGTAGCCTCACGTCTCTCGATGTCTGACTTTGATACCATTTGTAACAGTTAAAGTTCACCGTTAAAGATATGGTCCGCTTTGACTCGTTACATATCGTCGTCAGCCTCATAAATTTAAAACCCGCCTGTTAAGAAGAAATTTTCATACCGTTATAAGGAATGTTTAGTTTCTCTCCAACCGATGTGGGATCTTACAACGATGACTTTAACTCATTCCATTTATTGACATGACCTTTATTATTCATCTCTTCAATTCAACAATACGTGAAGGTATCGAAAATTATGACCTCTTCATAAACATAGGCATAAATCAATTAAACTACACTCTAGTTGATTATTATTACTATTTTGCATGTAATTTTATTTGTAAGTTTTTTTAAAATTAAAATTCTACGTTCAATTGAATAAAAAATCCATAAAGTTGGTAAGATAATTTGTTAATGTTAAATTACAAATTTAGCCCTATAACACGTGATATTAAAAAAAAAATTAGAATCAATTATTTACTAAGTTTTATCAAATTATAGAAACTATAAAAAAATTAATTTAAAAATACTAGATCCTTATTTCTCTAAAAAAAATTATAAAAACTATAATAATAATAATAATAAAAAGATCGCAATAATATTTTAATAACAAAAATAGATAAATAATTGAAATGATTAATTTCCATATGGGCCAGAGCCGTTCCATGGAAGCCCATACCGGCGGCACGCGGGGAGGTGAGGATATTATGGTAATTTCACAGGTAACCATAAACTAACCCTCGGCAAAGGAATCCTTTTGAGAGTTTGTAGTGAGAAGCAAACCTAATGAATAGAAAGAGAGAGAAACGTTTGAATTTCTTTGTTTGTTTCTTTTAGAGAGAGAGAGAGACCTTTCTGCTTCTTAGACCTCTTCCCAGACCTACGTCTCTTCTCTTTTTCTCTCTGCGATCGGATCGCTCAATCTTTTGAAAATCCTTCAAGATTAATTTGTTCGATTCATTTTTTTTTTTAATTCTTAGCAGTTGTTAGTTCTTCGAAAAATCAAAAACAAATTTGTTTTGATCTTATTGCTTAATTTTATTTTACTTTTTGCACTGTTTGCCGTCGATCAAGGTACTGCCATCTGAAAGAAACCCTAATTTTATAATTTATGATGGCTGCTTCTAATTTACCTGTCGCTGATTCGGCGGCGGCATCGAGTGTCAATCAGTCTCCTCGTAATTCTGGGCAGAATTACGGCAGTCGCAGCCCCAAATCATCATCACGTCGCTCTGGTGGACGCACAGTGTCTTCTTCTCCGTGGACCCAGATTGTTCGCGGTGAAATGGACATGGCGGCGGCTGTTTCGTCATCTGCATCTCCGACTACTGTTATTGAATCGATATCGTTTTCGTCTTCTTCTTCGTCTGAGGAGCCACTGAGTGAGAGTTTGGATGGCGGAAATTGGTCGTCTGCCAATGTTGCTGGAAAGAAGCCTGCGTGGAATAAGCTCTCTAATGGAACTGAGGCTGGGCCTGTCATGGGGGCTGTGTCTTGGCCCGCTCTGTCGGAATCTGCCAAGGGCACGCCTAAATCATCTTCGGATTCACTTAAAAGTTTAGGGGATGGATCCACTGGCGCGCAGGTTATTTTCTATCAATTTTATATTTGTTGTAATGGCACGTGCTGGAAAAATGAAAATGATAGATTCAGTTTGTTTGTAGGGATAAATGTTCAAACTGCTGCAGTCTATCTACATGATTAAGCTAAATCTTTCTACTTTTTCTGACATTAAAATGATAGATTTATCAATAGGTTCAAGAAATTGTTTCCTGGGTTAGTCTGCATATTCTCCTCGAATAGGTTGGTTAATTAACCATGTTCTCCATGGCTCAATTATTGACTTAATATCTGTCTTGTTATCTAATAGAGTGGTCGTCACTCTTGCACATTTTGTTTATTTTGTTTATCTTGTTATTACGTAAAGCTTTGATCAAAACATGGAAAGAGGATGAAATTTCTGTTGAAATTCCCAATTAAGCCACTCTTTGCCTAATTTCCTTGTTGAATTAGTAGAAATATCATTTTTGTTTTTATAAATTTCATACAACATTGAAATTTATTTTCTTGCGAAGAAAAATAAAGACTACCAAGATATAGGCATATAGAGTTAGTTGCTTTTTCTTTTTTTTTTTGTTGGTTTACCACGAATGTATGGGAGGGTCTTGACTTATTTATTTATGTTTTTTAAACATTTTTTTGGTACTAGTATTTATTTATTTATTTTTTACTTATAGGGGACTGGAACTTCGTCTTCCTCATCAAACAAAGAAGGTAATAATGATGTCAGACCCAATCCTGATTCATCTCTTACTCATCCAATAACCTCACGCCAGAAATCAATGAGGCGTAGTGGTTCAGGTAATTCATATAATAGTGGCCTCCCCCAACAGTCGGCACCTTCAAGTCCTATAATTGATCCAGCTCCTAATAATTCTTCAAAGGATCAGACAGAGAGAAGTACATTTGCATCACCATCACATAATGATCATGGTCATCAACAACCACGTTACTCATTTCGTAGTCGTGGTGGTTCACATCCACGTGGTGATAATTCCCATCATCATAACTATGGTTCTAGACGTGATCACGATCGTGGAAATCAAGATTGGAATTCAAATAGAAATTTTAATGCACAACCTCATAGAGTTGTTCACAGGTTTATTAGACCTTCTCCACCTCCACCTCCTAATACTGCTGCCTTTATTTCTGCTCCACCAATGAGGCCTATTGGGGGTCCATTATCCTTCCCTGGTAGGCTCTACATTTGTTTTGTGAGGTATCATGATTTTTTGAATGCGAACTTATTTAATGCTTGAATCTTTTTGTAGATTTTGCATCTCCTCCAATGGTATATGTTGGTCCTCCTCCTCCAGAGGCTCTTAGAGGTGTACCTTATGTCACTTCAATACCACCCAACGCAATGTTTTTTCACCCAGACCCTCAGTTGTATGCTATGATAGTGAGTCAGATAGAATACTATTTCAGGTATATTTGATGTGGTAGCTTTTAACCTTTTCGTATCATCCTTGTCTAGGTGTTAAGAGTTTTGAAAACTTTTTAATGGTTACTGCACCTTATATTTGTGAATTGCAGTGGTCAAAATTTAATAAAAGACACTTTCTTGAGAAAGAACATGAATGAAGAGGGATGGGTTCCAATTAGACTAATAGCATCCTTCAACAAGGTGAGTTGCTTATCTTACCAAGAATGTATAACTACTTTTTTTTACTAGGATGTCCAGATGATCTTCATTTTCTGTTAGGTTTCTGCCTTGTGCAGTGTCTATGCATGTTTTCCCTGGTAAATATTTTTAGGAAAAACTGTTTATGCAAGGTGAGTTGTCTATGCATGTTAGGTTTCTGCCTTGAGCTTTTCAAAAAAATTTAAAAATGTGTTCCTTTACTTTCTTTATACTCTGCGTTCCTTTGAAACTGTTCTAAAGAAAAGTTCTAGTGAAATTTTTGCAATCGTTCTTGGAATTTTGATTTACTTTCTGCTATATTGTACATTTTCTAAAAAAATGTTATGAAAAGTCATTTTGCCCGATTAATTTTTCCAGATTGTTTTTCTGATTTGAAAACTGTTTGGAAGATAATTTTTTCCTGCTTTCTTTTACCTCTACATATATATCAAATTATGCTTAGGAAATTACGCGATGATTATATATAAGCTGTGTAGGCATAGAGAACTCATAATAAAAATTGTTGCACCTCTGCCTGAATGTTGTTTCTCTTCCTGTATTTTTGGGTTCCGAAAACATTTTTAAAAATATATCTTGTCAACTCTTTTGATTAAAAAAAAAAAAAAAAAACTTTTATTTTTGAAATCAGATTTTTTTAGACTCGGTTCTCAAAATGTCTCTTTATGATTTATTAAATATGTCAATAGTGCATCTCACAAAGAAAAAAAAGGCTGCTACAGCAAGAAGAAAATAGAATTAGTTGATTACTGAAATAGCTGGAGAATTAAAATATTGGTTCTGATTTTGGAGATTCAAATTTATCTGATTAAAGATATCGATTTGTAGCATCAGAGTGAATTTAGAATAGAATTTTGTGTCTGATGACATGAGGAGGCTGAATTTTTACATAGCTTTACCCTATGGTCAATGAAGTACAGGTGTTAATTTTTGTAGCTTCCTTGTATGATTGTTATGTCATTTCCCGTCCTTTTATGAACCTTCATCCTGCATGTCACACATTTTTTGCACTTTGTGGAAAAGGAGCTTTGCCAGACCGCATTAGTTAAATATAGCATGCATGTTTTATTTTTTTCAAGAATTTTATGTCAATGACTTGATTGGTGTGGGATATGAACGGAAATGTTGACATTGTGATGTGATGTGTTGTAGATATTTAATTGTATTTCATTTACAAATGGGCGTTGGGACATTTTTAAGAGTGATTTGCTAAAGTTATTCAATGATTTTATGAGATATGGATCAATACTTGATCATGAGTGATATTAAGGGTTTTAGGCCGGACAGCTTAGTGACAAGCCTTCAAAAATATCATTTCTTAGTCTTTGACTAAGAGAATGTTGAAGGCTTAGACGGCGTCTTTATCAGATGAGGTTGAGGGTTATTATAGACCTCACTATCTGTTGGTCATCTTTAAGAAGATTGATTTTGAGAATGTTATGGTCATGTCGACTGGGATATCGGATGAGGTCCCTAGGGACGAAAGTTTTTGTCTCAATTTAGAACTTGAGTAGGCCACTCCTGTACTTCGATAACTTTTCCATCTTATTAAAGGGAGATCGTAGTTTTCTTCTCCCTAAGGTCTTTGTAGTCATCAGTTACTAACCCCTTTTATAATTATGATCTTGGTTTGTTGTATTGGAGTTCGTTTCTGTAATTAGCTTTTGGACTCTCTTTTGTTGGTGGGTTTGTTTTTTGTAAGCTCAGTTTCTTACTAAAAGAAAAAACATTCTTAATAGCTTTATTACAAGGGAGATGTGTAGAGGCTTGACCGATTATAGTGGGGTGGCTGAAGTTACAGTGCATCTTACTCAGTGTTGGTGATACCATCTTTTTCTGTACTAGGGAAGAGCCCTTTGTCCATTTTAGTAGGATTCTTCACATACTTAAGTTAGTCTTCTAGCTTTAAATTAGTTGGGATAAGTGTTTCATTGTCAATGTAACGTGGAGTTTGGGACCTTATTTCTCCCCTTAAAGTAGCTAAGCTGGCCCTCTTGAAACTTAGTGTATAAGGAATCACTGCAAGGGAAGTAAGATTCAAATTACCTTGTTGATTAAATATCTCAAGACAAGAACACTTGTTTGAGATTCGAATCACTCCACAAGCAAAATCGATCATGTCTAACTTGAATGTTATTCTAAACATGCAATCTAAACTACATAGAATTTGCAAAGGAAGGGTAAGACACTTGGCCCTAATGATAAAGAATCACTTAAAATTCAGATTATCTTGTTGATCAAATATCTTAAGGAAAAAACACTTGTGTGAAATTCGAATCACTCCACAAGCAAGATTGATTATGTCAAGTTTGAATGATTCTATACGCAACCTAAACTACATAGAATTGCAAAGAAACTTAGCTATTAGCTAAAAGAAAGCACAAATGCTCCTTGTACAACATTTTCCAAATCCCCTTTACAAAGGTAACATACTTGACTTTATATAGTCTCAAAATGAAACTCTTGACCCTCCATGAGACATTTCAAGAGTTTGTAACTTTCATACTTTAGGACCATAATTAGCCACTATGTATACTTTATGATATAATTAGCCTCTCTGTAAACGCAACTTTAAAGTAAACAAAGTCTTAAAATACATTAATGAAATACAATAACTCTAAGTCATCATCCTCATAAATTTGTAACCATTTAAGAATAAATGAAGCCCCACTTAAACTATCTTGAAGCTTTTGTTACATAAATGAAGTTTGATTCTTCTCAACGTGGCATTAATATTCAGTTTTATTAATATTCATTTGTCTTTTTATTATAAATAATTGTTGTGTGTGATCTAGTAAGAGGAGAAGAAGAAAAGGAAGAGTTTTGAGTACACTTTTGGAATTACTATTTGAGTTTTTGTTGTGTGCCTCTTTTTGCTCGGTTTTGTTAGTTTTTCCCCTTTCTTTTTTGTTCTTTTCTACTTCCGATCTCCTTGATGAAAGCAGTTCTTTTCCATAAAAAAAAGTACTTGCATGATTGACTGCAAGGTCGGTGGTTCTGTGCTTTCTGAGATAATTGTGAAGAATGACTTCTATCATGTAGCTTCTATAATTTCTTCCATCATTCAATAGCCATATTTTCTTTTTATATCGCTAAATCATGTAACTCAAAATGGAGGTTATATGAATAAATCTGGGGACCAGAATGCATGATATTGTTTTTATCCTTCAGAATATGTCATCTGGGCACTCTTTTGTAGGTTAAACGTCTGACTGAAAGTATCCCAATTATATTGGATGCATTGCAATCATCTTCACTTGTGGAAGTAAAGGTCAGTAGTCATCAGCTCCTGAACGAGCCTTTTCCTCTATCTATAATTGGAGACTTTAAGTTGGGAAAACTCGCTGCTAAATGGATTTGCATCCTTAAAATGTAGTAATAGTAGTGATGGGGATAGACAAGCAAAATTTCAAATCATTTTTCTCTTATTCTTGTATATATGAACACTTTTTTTTTTTTTTTTGTTTTTTTGGCTTGCTCTTAGGGAGAGACGGTAAGGAGGCGTAATGATTATGACAGATGGATTATTCGACCTGGTGAAATTCCTGATGTTGCAGGCCCATTAAGCCCAGGAAGTTCCAATCAGGATATGTTGGCAGCTGGTGTTCAAACTATTGCGCTAGAGAATATTAATCATAGGGTATCTGAAGGTGGGCAGGGTGCTGTTCATGTTGAGGCACACCAAAGTAGTAGGCCATCTGGAAATTTGAGTACGCACGCACAGCCATATGGTGATAATGGTACAGACCAAGTAAATACCAAGGCAGGTTCAGATCATTCATCTTCTGAAAGGAGTTAGACCAAGAACTTGTGCTGTGAACCCGTGTCCTTCTGAATGAAAACTAGATGTGGGTAGTAGAGATTGAGGAGATGTTAGTGGACACGGTTTGCTTAACAACAATTCTCTTCTCGTGATGCCAAGTAAATTGGTGGGACTGAAGTTGAAGAAGAGGAACAATAATGAAAAGATAAAGGGAAAAAGAAGAAAAAAAACTTAAATTAAAACTTAAACTTCAAAAAAAAAAAAAAAAAAAAAAANTGGGTATCTCTTATTGGAAATCAATTTAAAATCAATTTATGCAGTTCAATCCATTGACCAAGATTAGACATGTCAACTTTCCAGGATCCAATCCTTTTCCTCTACAAATCCAGACAGTCCCAATCTCCGTCCATACGCTCCTACCGCCGCCGCCGTCGTCGCCACCATCCAAAAATGAACATCGTCTTCTTCCTCTCAGTTTTCTTACTCTTCGTCGGAGCCAACAGTTCTCAATTTCCGATCGACGAAGCAACCATCGCCGAAATCCAACACGCTTTCTCCCAAAACAAGCTCACCTCCAGAGAACTTCTCGATCACTACCTGAACAAGATCGATTTTCTTAATCCAGTGCTTAGAAGCGTTCTCGAAGTGAATCCTGATGCGAGAGCCCAAGCGGAAACCGCCGATCGAGAGAGGGAGCTCGCTGGAGGAAAAGCCCTTGGCGAACTCCATGGAATTCCAGTGCTGCTCAAGGATTCAATTGGAACCAAGGATCGGCTCAATACCACGGCCGGTTCCTTCGCATTGCTAGGTTCGGTGGTGCCTCGAGATGCGACGGTGGTCCACCGCCTGAGGAACGCCGGTGCGGTGATTTTGGGGAAAACTTCGCTCACTGAGTGGTATGGGTCTCGGTCTCTGAAGATTCCCCATGGCTGGTGCGCTCGCGGCGGTCAAGCCCTGGTCAGTAATTTTTAGTTTTAGTTTTAGTTTCCAATTCCTATTTTCTTTTCAATAAAAAAAAAAAAAAAAATACAAATCTTAAATATTTTAAATTTATGTTTATTTAAATTTCTTATTTGTAATAAAATTTTTAATTCTCAAATTTATATCAAACAAATTTAATTTTATATCTAAGCTTACTAAATATTTTAGGCATAAGTTTAAAAGATCATAAATTAAATTTATAATTTAATTATTAAATAAAGAAAAATATAATTACATTGGGTAATTATTTATTTATTTTAATAAAAAAAGCATTCACGTCTAAAATTTTAAGTTAAAAATATAAAAAATTTATACAAAAATAATTTTTTAAATAAAATTAAGAGACATTTTTGAAAAATAGGAATAAATTCAAATCACCTTAGCTTGTTTTATAATTATTTGGTTTTTATTTTGGAAATTATTTTTGTTTTTTTTTACCATTTTCCACTAAGAATTTCATGTTTATTAAGAAAATATTTAAATTTTTAGTTAAATTTCAAAAAAAAAAAAAAAAAAAAAAAAGTTAAGAGAAAAACTATAACAGAAGTTCCTTTGCGGTGGAGGGATGCATTTATGGTTTTGTGGGCTGGTGTTGGCGCATGGCTTGTTTCTTAAGTTCATATTCCTTTTTGTTGTGGTTTTCCTTCTTTTTGGTGATGATGGCATGTACTTAATGTGGGGAATTTTGATTTGCCTCCCCATGGTTGCCCCTCAGCTGGTTTTTTGATATCTTTGGGGTCAAAGAACTCTCGAGTTCTTCGATGAGAGAACACGGTAATCCGGGAAAGAACTTTGCTTTTGTTCTGCAAGGTGAATCTATCATAGAGGTTGGCTTTTGTTGGATATTGTGGAGGCTGGGCTGCTGCAAACTTCTGTTCTTCTGTCTGAAGGTTCTTCTTTCTATCCTTTTATTATTGTTTTTCAGAGACTTACCCCTTGGCGTTTGCTTTATAGATGTCTATCTTCCAACTTCAAACGCCGCATTAGGAACTTCTGAAGGTTGAACTGCATAAAATGCCCCCTTCCCCCCATTATGCTCTGAACTTTCTCTTCCAGTTCATATTATTTTGCTCCAGATATCATCTTTATTTTATTGGCATGTTTTGGATCAGATTGTACTTGAAAAATGGGAATTTGCAATACCAGTAACAGTGCTGCAATTGACCCGAATTTTTGCGTCTGTTCGTTCCCCTTTCTATTCCCTATCCTGGAGTTTTTGAGTATATTTGTTGAAACTAAATTATCAAAATAGTGTGGTTATGAAGCTTAGTTAGAGGTGAAATTTTAAATTTATCTCTTATTATATAGTTCTGTTTATAAAGAAGTGTACACCAGCCTTATACATCTAACATTACAAGATCAGGTATATTATTGAATATTTTTGGACTAGGAGAGCTTGGCTAGAGCGTCCTTTACAAGTTGACGAGTCAGAATTTTGTAGGCTTTGCTGGAAGGGTGGTAGCTATCCCAGAAGACGTACTTATCCGCATCGGGGCACGATAATGGTATGGATGAAGGGTTGCATAGAACGCTGACCTCTATATTTCCTGTGCCACAACACCCTTTCTTCGCCTCCTCGAACCCTGAAATCATCTCATCCATCCAAAACCTTATAATTATATTACGATTTTAGATTCTCGTCTATTTATGTCTTTAAAATCGTCTTATAAATACATTATTTTTAATTTTGTGTTTAATATGTTCATTCTTTTGGATTTAATAGGTCATTTAATCCACCTCACATTTTTTAAAATTTATAGGTTAAAATAACTTGAATAAGCAAAGGGCGTTGGGCAGCACAATCTATTTCAATGAGGAAGTTACAAAGTTCTAAATAATGAAAGATAGGATGAATCGTTTTGACTCAAAAAAAAAGTCTAGTAGAATTTTGTTTATAATTTTTATTATTTAAATAAAAAATTCTATTATTATATATTATTATATAAATAATAAATAATTGAATAATGTAAGGTAAATTTATTATTAAAAAATATCACTAAAAAAATATAAATTCAAATAAAAATAAACATTTTTTTTATCAAAGTAATCTTTGGAATTTCCTAATGTTTTGAGCGGATGAATATGAAATTCCTTTCTTTAGGGTATGTTAAAAAAAAAAGAAGAGATATTTAATTTAATATTTAATAATTCTGTTAATTTTTAATAATTTAAAATATATTAAGAAAATTAAGAAAATTTACATTTTTAAGAAAGTGAAAAAAGTAGCAAATAATTTGGCATTTACAAAAAATAAAAAACTTTATGAAACGAATGTTACCTTGGCTTTTGCAATAAGGGTAAAATTGAGAATTTGAAAAATTAGGATCGAATTAAAAATTAACAATTTAAAAAATTGAAAGTTATAGGCGATGAATATGAATATAAATGAAGGATGGAAGAACAAATGAAAGGAGAAATTACCATATTGGGCAGAATTTTGAATGATAGCAAGAAGCCGATCGTAGACATCCAAATAAGCAATGGTGGCATCCGAATATTGATTTTCGAGCGACGTAATCAACGACGATAGCTTCGAATTGAAAAGCAACGCCGCTCCATTGGCAGCTTCCGAACAGCCTCGGGCGATGCCGCCGTTTAGGGTTCTCTTGGACGGAAGGCAGCCAATCGCCGGCAAGCTGAGAACTCCGATCCGTCTTCCTCCGAGTGCGTAAAGCTGGTGCAAGAAAGTGGAAGCTGATCGGAGCATGAGATCGGTGTAGGATGGGATGTCGTAGTGGAATCGTCGGAAGGGAGTGATGAAATAGGTGTTTGCAATGTCGTCGCTGCCGGTGCAGACTATTATTACGCTTTTGGATAGGATCGCCGTCGCCTTTTCTTCTCCGACCGCCGCTTTTATCTTCTTTATGTACTCTTTGAACATCTCCAGTTGATCGTCTAGCGACAACACTGACTGGTTTTGAGAGAAAAAAAAAAACAAAAAAAAAATCATATATTTTAGAAATAAAATAATTTAATTCGCTTTCTATTTCATATTTAATATTTAATAATAAATTGTAGTTTAATATATATATTTTATTATATGGTAAATATCTAAATATATCTATTTATTATTATTTTTTCATAGTAATTTATTTATTATAAATTAAGCAAACATGAGAAGTAATTTTTCTCCACTTTTCTATAAATATCTTAAAAAATATTTATTTAAAAAAATTTAATCAATAATTTCTGTTACAAATTTAATAATATTTCATAAAATAAATCTAACACTCAAACTATATAGATATTATTATTATGAAGATTACCGCTATTTTGGACGTGAGAGGGTCATATCCAGAAGCTCCGGAAGCAAAACTAACGCCGGTAAGAAGCTCCTCAGTTGTCAAATTTGGATCAAGATATGCCGGCAACAACTCCTTCACACCAAGCTCTTCCGCTGTTACGTTTTAAAATTTACAAGCATATATGGTGTTAGCTTACAAACAATGCTTGCAATAAAAGAATCGTCTTTGTTATTAATCTGAACATAATTCAACTAGTTAAAATATATAGATATTAAATAGTCAACAATGCAAGATTTGTTTATTTTTCAATTGCTCGAAACAAATACGTATACAAAATATGGTATCGGGTTAGCTACCTTTCCTTAAATTCCTACTAAACTCAAAAGCTCAATTTGACGGGTTTAAGAGTTTAACCTGCAAAATCAGAAGGAATTTTGCCGTTGCTAAACCGTCCGGTCGACATTCCGCCATTGAAATCCCTTCCATAAGGTGCAAAGTCACATTTGACCAATGTTTTGATGTAGTTATTGTTGCCTGGGTCCACGATTGAATCTCCGAACACAAGTATTGCCGAAACTTCTACTTTTTTCGACACTAAGTTAGAATCAGCGACAATGATGACGTGGCAAACAAACAAAAATATCTCCAAGTAATTACGTATTTTCATTTCTGTCAAACGAATGACTGGTTGGAGATGGGTAATGAGTGAGCTTCATGTACTGTTTATATAATGGTAGCTTTCGTTTCCCCATGAGTTGGCTACATGACGTGGCTTCTAATCACTGGCTATTTGATTTCCCATGAGCTGGCTGTTGACGTGTGTACTGATCAATGGCTTAATCCGGCTTTTTTTGGGAAGTTGATGATTTGGCATTAATTAAACAGCTACAAATCAATATCAATTATGTCGGTGATAGCTATTTTCATATTTTTTTAATAACATAACGAGACAAAAAATTATATCTCCATTATATATAATTATCATCTCCGACCCTGTTTAGAGGGGTCTCTCTATCATCTTTTGTATTTTCCATGTTATATAGGATAAGTTTACGGCTCCGTGCGTTAAATGAGTCTAACTGAAAGTTCAAACGTTCACCGATATTTGCATATAATTATTAATATTTATTTTTTTATTCGACACATTTTAACTATTAATTCAAGTATAATTAATATTTTTAATTGTTGTTTAGCAAATCTCGAACGATAAATTTCACAATTAATAAAAAATAAATAAAAAGGTCAATTCGGTCTCACTTTCATTGAAAATAAAAATTCACTAATTTAACACGAAGTCTACATCTTCAACTGTGTAACATAATTATCATCTAGAAATTGATTCACAACCAATTAAATAAATATTAATTAATAACTCATAAAACAATATTTTTATGCAATAATTTTTATTTTTTAAAAATTGACAATACATTCAGAAAAATAAAAGTAACTAAATTGGTGTGAAATGGCGGTGAGCATTAAAAACATTATCCATTTATTGGCCGTCGGCTAATTAAAACATTGGCTCACAAGAGCGAAAATGACGTTATTAAAATCTTAAACCAAACCCGATACATATCTACAAACTCCCAATCTAACGTATTTATAATTTTATAAAAATTGTAATTTTAATTTTATTTCGTTCTTATGTTTCGATTAAATTTCATAAATATTTCACATTAATAATATATATATATAGATCGAGTACTAGTACACATAAATGTATATATAATAAAAAAAATGTTAGATACGAGATCAATGGTATGTTCTCTTTTGTTTTCATATTAGAAGGTGTGATTTGTACGATCATATATATATATAATAAATTAATTTTGAGAATTTGTCAATTATTATTAAAATTAAAATTTAATGAGATAAACCTAATATATATTAAAAACATAATTTTAATTTAAATTTTTATAAAAATAAATGAATTAATTTGATTTAAATTTCATGCTTTAGAAGTAACCAGAAGCACCGAACCCCAAGCCAAGCTAAAAAACAAACCCATTAAAAATGATGACATGTCACTCCCTCATTCGTAGACGTGTATTAATATCCACGTGTCGATGTAAAAGAAAATGACGTGTGATCAGCTGCGCCACGTAATCAAATTGTTCCTCCGCAGATATTACTGCGTCGTTTGAATGGAAGCCAAAGCAATCTTAAAATTTACTTTCTTTTGATCACCGGCGGTAATGGGTTTTTTAGATCGTTGCGCCGACGTCTGCAACTTCTCGCACGGCCACAGCCATGACAGTAAAAAGCTGAAGAAAAACCGGCAACTTCAGGTAAATTTTAAAATAACCCATGGAAAAAATTAAATTACCGATTTATTTTAAGCTTGATTTAATTGATTCAGTGTTAATTTTTGAAGACGGTGGAGATTAAAGTGAAGATGGACTGTGAAGGGTGCGAGAGAAAGGTGAAGAAATCGGTGGAGGGAATGAAAGGGGTGACGGAGGTGGAGGTGGAGCCGAAGCGGAGCAAGCTGACGGTAGTGGGTTACGTCGATCCCGATAAGGTTCTGCATCGGGTCCGTCACCGGACGGGGAAGACGGCGGACTTTTGGCCGTATGTCCCGTACGACGTCGTGGAACACCCTTATGCGCCTGGAGCCTACGACAAGAAGGCGCCGCCGGGATATGTACGGAATGTTACGGCTAACCCGGAGGCGGCGCCGCTTGCACGTGCCAGCTCGTTTGAGGTTAAATACACTACCGCCTTTAGTGATGAGAATCCCAATGCTTGTGTTTTAATGTGAAAACAACGACAATGTAATGTAAATGACTTGTGAGATATTGCTGTCCACGTAGATTTTTTTTTCTTTTAATTTTTTATTTGTAATTTTTAAATTAATTAGTTTTTAAGGTCGTGATTTTACAAGGGTAATCTAGTAATATTTTGAAATAATTTGGTAAAATTTTATGATATGAAAATCGCATCTAATAATATAATATGTGGTTTTTTTTTTTAAGATTAAAGATAATTTTTAAATTATATACAAAATATTTTGATTTTATGTAATTATTTTTGTTATTTTACGTTAAATTATCTAAATCAACTTTACTTTTTAAAATTTTGAAGACCGAAATTGTCCTTGCTAGTGTATTTATCTGCTTAATTATAATTATAATTAACTGAAAATTTATGATGACTTCATGCATAATCGAAGGATTTATATTTGGTAAAAAAATATATAATATTGACTGAACCTTAAAATATAGTTTTTGATTTTACAGTAAAATCTAATGAAATTAGTTATTGATGTTTTAACATTCAGTAAGTTCATACCAGTAAAATAATTTAACGGTTAAGGTAAAAGCTAGTAAGTTCATACCAGTAAAATAATTTAACGGTTAAGGTAAAAGCTGGGAAGTAAAAGCTGGGAATGTCACTTTTAACGGTTAAGGTAAAGTTGGGCCTAGGCCCAATGAACTTTACAAAATGGGCTGGCTCGTGAAAGGTTTTTCAGCCCGAGGCGTTGTAATTGGTTTCTTGGCCACGGCGTTGTTCGAATTTTCACTATAAAAGCTCCCCGCCATTTCCCTAAGCCCGCGAAATCCGCTCCATGAACTCGTAGAACAATGGCACGACGAACCTTCGATCATCTTTTACTCGAAGACGAGAATTTCTGTTCAGACGCACTTTGTTCCAGTTCGTTGTAGGCCGATTTGTGATTCCGAACTCAGGAATGGTGTTGATACCATCTTCGTTGCGTTGTATGTTTCTCTAAATTTTTCTTCCGTTTCTTGGAGGATGTCGAAGAAGGAGAACAATCTGGTTTTACTATCGTCGGATGAAGAATACTGTGGTGGTCGATCATCCAGTTCGAAACGCAGTAATCGAAAGACGAAATCGGAAGAGATATCGGCAAGTGAAGAAGTCTCGAATCTTAGGTTCTCGGACATAACTGCATAAGGATTTCCGCAATGTTGAGGTATATGTGGAATTCCTTGTTTCTCATCCATGCTTTACATAACTCTCTTGTCACCGTATTAGATTCTGGTGTGCGCGCGCGCATAGATGAGAATGAATTTAGCTGGTGTGTAGTTGTTGCTCTGAAGAAAAACTTGCGTTGGACCAGCAATTTTGTCTTATTGTCTCTAGCTCTGTTCTTACGTGTCGCGAGATGTTGATAACGAGGAAGGATTTGGATTTTTCCAATGGTAAGCCTCTTTTGTTTCATTGCTAGTATATTCTCATGTTTCATAGCAGTTTCTTTAGCTATTAATGTTTTTTCTCCCTACTAAATGCTTCTAAGCAGGTTCTAGGGCTTTTCAATTAATTTAGTTCTTTGATACTATGCATTTTGATCTTATTTTGTTGATGCAATTCAACTTAATTTGTGAAGATTTTGGTCAAGTCTTGTCTACCTTCAAAGTATTTGTGGCATGCCATTACTGCGTCGCTGTAGCTTCTCTCAAATTTTCTGTTGATTACTCCAGTGTATACCGAAGGAAAGTTCTGATGTTAATATATTTTCTACGTGGACTCAATTACTTGAAATATCTGAAGTGGAAGATGATCGAACGTCTCACAGATTTCTCACAACTAGATTTTGAATTGCATATTTAAATTTGAAGCTCTGTTCTGGAGGCATTTATAGAAATGAATTATGAACTGATAACCACATTCATTGGAGGAGCTTTCTGCACACGAGAAAAAGGTCATTTGTAATTTGTAATAGTTAAGAATGTTCTGAGTCGATGCTATGCATATACTGTTAGGCTATTTATTTTGTTTATTATTATTATTTTTTTAATGTTTTGCAGTACAAGATGGTAAAACAAAGATCTATCGCTTATCGTGGACTCAGCTTTTAGTTGATTTTTCAGTAGTGTCCACAGACTACCTACCTGCATTGAAGTGGCTGGGTAGCAGGGCACCGGGCGTCACGAAAATTTTAGGGTATTGAGAGTGTCATACTTCAGATGAAATTGAAGATTGGTAAATTAGATAGGCACACAGTTATTAAGCAATCCCAAGACGGTAGGATGTCTTGCTCCTTACCACACGTGGTTTTGTACAATGTAATTAACTTCTGTTCATTATTCAAATATTAATATGAATTTGAGTACAAATTATCATCTTTGTAACAGAAATCCTTTTGCCTATTCATTTAAGACGGTGTCTGAACTCTTGGGAATCAGCTTCCGGCAGATGTTTCTCAGAGGTGTTGTCATTGAAACTTTCGAGTTCTGACTTCTGAGTAGGTACGGTCTCGTATGTTACTAAGATTTGTTGAAAATATTACTCTGATTATTTCAGCTTTGATGCATCTATATGTACACACGCATATATGATTACTTTTTCAAGAAATATTGTCACAAATATATGAACTGCATGAAAATTTGAGGGTCCGTACAAGGGGCCCTTAGCTCTTGAAACGATAGGAATTCCAACTGTGCATAATTGACCATAGATTAATAATATAATGATATGAATAGTTAAGCAAATAAACTTCCGAAATTTGATGAGATATCTATTTACAAGAACAACAAGGCTACGAGTTCTACAAAATTCCTGGCTCTGTATTCCTACCCAGTTCATAAAAGCTGGCGAAATGGCCCACTTGCATCCTTTCTTTTTTTTTTTCTCTTCATTATCCAAACGATATGTTCTATCAAAATAAATGAAGTTGTTACATGACTTTCTTCCTTTATCCAGAAAACTTTCCCCCGGTTGAATTCACATCTATGCACAGGAATTGGTCCGAATAATCTCTCTTGATCCGGATCTTGTCATCACGGTAGTAATCTCTTCACCTCATGCTGGTTAGGATTTTTAGTTTGATTGTAAACTGCCTCATATGCGTGCATGCATACACTTGAAAACCCGACCATTGCTTGGAAAACATGGGGAAAACTCATCTGCAAGTTGTATATTGTCATTGACCTTGTCACACTGATCAAGCTTTCATACTTTTGCTTCTCATCTCGAGCTTTTGTTCTCAAGTTCTCCACCTTATTTTTCTTCTCCTGAACTGGGTCTCTCCCTCTCGTGGATGCTGAGCATTCTCGCATTGAATGTGAGACATATTTACTTTCTAGCGATCTTAGCTCGTTAGCTCTCTTATCAAGCTCTTTCGAGGCATAATCTGCCTTCTTCCTTTGCCTGTTTTCCGCAGCTTGTTGAACAACAATGGCATGGATTACGGTTAAGAAGCTCTTGATCCCTTCGGAAGCCACTTTGTCCGGAATCCTATCAACTGCAAGGTTCCATTCTTCACAAAGTTCGTAAATTCTAGAATGTTGATCTGTTCTTAATAAGGGGTTTCCACTTATCTGGAAAAGGCTAAGCCGGAGCCAGCCTGTAAGAGATTGGACATAATCCTGTTGAGCTTTGACTAAATTGCAAAAAGAACCGTGCCATTGCTGAACTTCAAGCTCAAGCTGGAGAGTGGATTGGCGGTGGATCTCAGATGTTGGCTCAGCAGATGGTAAGATGTTTAGGTATTTGAGCTGCTCAACAATGTGTGTTTGTACCTGATGACACTCGTACATACTCCTCCACATGCACATCAATCTGTAGAAACCAAGGAAAATCTTAGTGTTTAGTATACTTCCAAGTTCAGATGCAATGCTATTTATGCCCATGAAGACATCCAAAAGGTGCTTCGTAATTTTTCAGTTAGGCTTCCTGAAACACCAGAGGTTGCAAAACAATACATTGAGAGTACAGTCAAATGACTAGCGATTTCCTATTTCTGTTGAGGCCAAAACAGAAATTTGAAAGAGACTAACCCTTTGACAAACTCAAGGAGTTGTGGATAGAGTTCAATTTCTCTTAGCTTGATGATTTCAGTCGATGTGGTTTCGATGGCCTGAGAAGCAACCATCATCTGGGACTCCAACTTCTCGACCTCTTTCTTAGTCTTCTCAGTCTTCAGGTAATCAGCCCTCCTCAGTTCCAGCTTTCTCAATAGGTCCACCTTCTTCTCATGCTCTATCCTTATGGCCTCGGCAATCTAAAAAAGCCACTCGAACAATAATTTCACCAAACTTTAGTACAAAGGATTCCACAATTCGGTTCTTCACTGTCTTCAATTGCATTGAGAAATGCTAAAGGTTTCATCTTTGTTTTGTTATGTTGGACCCCATTAGGTAAAAGGAAGAAAAAGTGGGAAGAATCATTTCAAATTAGATTTTATTATTTAAAGCACCAAAATGTCATATTATTCCTCTAATCTGACTGGAGATTTGATTGAAATACGCGAAAGTGATAGCATTACCTTGACCTCCTGGTACAGTTTTTTCTCCCAAGCATACAGCTTCTCCACTGTTGAGCAGTGGCTGCCGCTATTCCCTGTATATCCATTTCCCATATTTGTTGCTGTTAGTTGTCCGTTTAATCTTCCTAATGCATCTGGTTTTGTGTTTGAACCCCACACCCTCAACGAAGGGCTCAAGCTCCACCTATTACTGTAAACCTGTCCTGCTAGCGACATGATATGAAACTCATTAGGTTACTGTATGATTTGGTTGCTTTTCTAGTTCTTTGATATTTGACTTACCTCCTTTATTCTGAGAAGAGAAAGTGGGAACTTCCAAAAGCACAGAGAGCCCAGCACCAGCTTCGGCAGCTTTGAGAAAGTACTCATCAAGCTCCTTGATAATCTCCACCAGATCTTTAGTGTTCCTTGACACTACCACAGCAAGCTCAGTGCTCGAAGCGTCCTTTGAAAAACCACTCACCACCGACGGCGGCGGCGCTGAACTCGCCGCCCCTGTTACAGTGATCCTAGCCTCCGATGCAATGGTGGTAGCCTCCCATTCTTCCTCAGTGCGAGACGTCGACGGCACAAAAGGGTCCCAGAAATCCCAAGTGGATGACGGCGGTGGTGGCGGAGGAGGAGGCAGAGCCGTGGAGGCCGTGGTCGACGTCCAGGTGTCGGAACTGGGACTCATGGGGATAGGTGGAGGTGGAGGTGTAGGCGGCGGTGGCGGCGTTCGTGGGGTTGGAGATGGAACCTCCGGCGGAAGGTGGTGGTGCAGAGGGCGGTGAATGTAGGTCTCTTCATTGGAAAACTGCCGGAGAGCCGCGCCGGTGCCGCGAAGGGAACGAATGTACAAGCTGTGAGAAGCAGAAAAAGCTTGCCTCGCCTTCACCAACTGCTTCATGTACCTCTCTCTTGCTTTGCACCTCGACACAGTTTCTCCTCTCTCTAATCTCGAGTAACAGCTACCCATTTCAGTTCCTTATTAAGCTTCTTCCCTTTTGATCTCCTTCGGCCAAAATCTCAAACAGATGGAAAGAAGAAAGCTTCTCAAGAACAGAACAAATCTCCGGCGGCTTTCTGCTTCCGATCTTCCGTCGTTCTTCACATTCCAATGACGGTAGCTAAAATGGCAGATATTCCATTGGTTGTGGTCATGGTGGTGGTGGTGCTTCAGGCCACTACTGTCAAACTCGTGCCTAAAAAAGCTACTCTCTTTCTTCCTTGTTACTCGCTGGCAAAGCCGGTGCCTTTTTCTGAGCCTTGTAGACTCGGACTTGACCCACTTCAACCTGTGAACTTTGGCCACTTCACAGAGAAATAAAGAAACAATAGGGAAAAATGGAAAATGGTACAGAAAAAAAAAATGGAAAAAGGAAAAAGAAAAGTTTGGGAGTTGGAAGTATATACTTAGTCAGGCTTAAAGATGCAGCCGAGAGAGACAAAAAGGGTGTTGGGCAGCGAGCCAGTAATTTTTATAACCGTTTCGAAAAGACGAAATCGTCCTACCTGTTCCTATCAAATTACTGTAACGGAACACTCTAAATATGGCTATTTAGTATAATCTTACCTCCACGTGTCATTCCACTTTAATCTCTTACCCTTTTACCAAGGGTCATTGACTGTGTGTAGCGCATGCGTGCCTAGACAGGTCGATTTGGGCCACAAAAAAAAAAAAAAAAAAAAAA